ATCCATCTCTAACAACCCTTGTCCTTCAACACGAGGTAATAGCAATCTAACGCTCAAGTGTTTATTTATGTTTATACTTCGAAAGTATGTCACGTAGAAATTATTTTGATTTGAATGAGTTTAACATTTTTAAATAGCATCCCCCACAGGCCCTGCTCCACGGGAACACAAATTGCAAGGTTCCGTGGTCCGCAGAAGTGGGATCGATAGAAAATATAGGTACATGGTTAACTTCGAGTATACAAAACTCATTTGACTTACACCTTGTAAAAATGTTATGACTTAAGCGGCTTAAGCCAAAGCACCCTTATAAGTCTGTGTGCAATAACTTGTTAACCCCTGAGATATTGTGTATATATTGTTATCAATAAAAGAGTTTCGGCTCACTGAACCAGCTACAATCTCCATTATTAACACATTTATTTTTATTAATTTTTAAACAACTTGTTCACAAATTTCTTTATATAACACTATTATGCCACTATTTTCAGCTTGCAGCTTCAGCTAGCGTTTTGTAAGCTGAAAGCAGTAGCAAAAACCGCCTTCCAAAATTTCCATATAACTGAGATATTGATTTTTAAAAATACGTGATGCAAAATTTCGTCAAAATGTTCAAAGAAGATGATGATAAACTGTTTAAAAAAAACTGCTCTTACGTTGCAGATTATATTTAAAATTTCATAACAATTATTCTGTTAACAATGGAGAGTTGGTTGATAAATCAGCACGATGAACGATGTTCACATTTTCAGAAAAGAAGTGAGGATTTTAAGTCATTCTCGTTTGTTCTTTTCATCTTTGTAACAGGCGCTTTTAATACATAATACTGTTTCTAAATTGCTAGAATTTTTAAGCTTCACTTTGAAATGTTCGTCACGTTGTACTACTCCTACTCCGCCAAAAATAACAGCAGCCTAAATAGATTGCAAGGATAAAACTAAAATATAACACTAATTAACATCGACTTGCATACATTCATTATTAATCATTATTAAATATTTATATGTTTTATATAAACTTTGTAATACAATTTAAGTTACAAAGTATTTTATTTGTAGAACACTGTTACACGTCAAAAAAACGTAAGTTTTATATACACAAATCAGCACTACAGGCCTTGTATAGACTTTTGACTTCTATAATTTTGGCTACTTATTTTCACCTTTTCAGTTTTCCTCTGTTTCCTTTCACTTGCTCATTCCTGGCTCCATTACATCCTTCTTTACCTCCTCCAACCATTTCTTCCTTGGGGGTTTTCTTCTTTTTTCCCACTTTCTTCAATTTGTAATACTTTTTGACATGTCTCTGCCGAGTAATGTGTGCAACCCAACTGCCTATCTACGCTTGGATTTTGTGTGTAATTTTTGGTCTTTTGTACATGATGATGACCTGATTCGTTCTTCACCCCTGTCTGTGTCTTGATTTCTCCGAAAATTTTTCGCAAGACTTTTGTTCATTATATTTCTAATTTTATTTCTTCCTGTTTATCATGATCCACGTTTTGCTATTTTTTCATGCATTCGAATTTTGTCCCACTGGATATGTTTTTCTGACCGGGGTGCTCGGTGGAGGGTGTACCCGATTTAATAGTGGGTAATAAAACAGATACATTTTTTCGGCAATATCACGTTTCGTTCGTGATCAAGACAAAAAAAAAACAGATCTTTAGTTACACAGAAATTAATACATACTTAACTATTTTTGCCATCGATAATTTCCCATAATTATGTTCTTGTTATATGTAAAGATTTTTCCCCAATTTTAAACGCCCACTTTCTTTATAATCGGTTGTTATAACGAAATGTTAATAATTTACCTTAAAGTATCCGAAAATGTTTCTAATAGTTTTGGAAAATTGCCTAATTTATTTGCGATTTAAATTGCATTTATTTTAAATAATACGTAGATATGAAGTGATAAATTACTGCTATTCCATTAACAGTTTTTTCGGATTAACACAATTATTTTCAAAATTCACATTATCAATCTGTAAAGGATAATGTCATACTTTATGTCGGAGAAAATATTTATTGGATACGGATTTATTTAAAAAGAAATAACAAAAGAAAATCGAAACATAGATAAAGCGAGCAAGCAATTTGAAGAATCGTAGGGTTAATCTGAGGTAGCCCGGATAATCTCCATCCACTCACTTTCATGGTCAACATCCGGTCCAGTGGGCGTTAAAGATTGCACCACGTAGGTACCGATTGCAAACTTCGATCAGTTTTTACGTGTACAGAGTTTGCTTTTTGTTCGCCTTGTATCAATTGTGCACTATTTATGTGAAAAACAGTTTTATCCAATCTTTTAAGGAAGGTCCATTGTATGTCCCTCTTTTTGCAATTTTGTTCGCATTGCACGTTGTAAGCGCAATGTAAATGTCATAATTTTTGCATGTTCTAATTTTTTTTCACAGAAAATGGCGTTTAAAAGCAAATTTTAATAAAAGAGGGACAAAATATGTCTAGTAAGGATTCTTCAGAAAAAAAAGGATCATCCTAAATCAATTTCCCTCGTCTTTTACCCACATTTCTTTAAGATTGGTTCAATGAGGCGTGCTCCCTCTTGTCATTCTGCCTCCAGGATATTTTCCTACTTTTTGTTCAAATTTTCTGAAAACTCAAAGTCCTTCTTTTGAATTTGCTAATAATGTGAATATGAAAAAATACATCAGTATTTATACGCAGAAAACACACAAATGAATCATTGTAAAATGATTGTACCTAAAAATTTGATCTGTGGTAGATCTCTCTGGCTTGAAACGTCTTTAATATTCCCCTACTATATGTTTTAAAACAACCTCATCATTTTTACCATTTTTTCAAATTAAAATCGCAAATAAAATTGTCTGCCATTATTTCGCAAAATTCGATTCTGCGGTCAAAGTCAATGTCCATGGGAAAAACTAATAAACGATTAGTCCTTTGTCCCCACAATAATTTACAACAGGCCGATGGAATTCGTGGTTATCTGTAACACGTCTTTCTTTAAATATTTTCGTATGCTGACTCAGAATCCCGAAAAAACGCGTTATTAAGAAAATGACCTCTGCAACAAATCCCGCAAAAAAAGCAAAGTCCAGTGTTAGCTTGTTTCGCCCATTGTCACTATCTTCAGTCAGTTTGTAGACCATTGTGACCAGGGTTTCATCCATACATCAACAAGTTTAAAACAGTTAAAAACTGTCTTTAAATTTTCAAAAAAGTTCATCTTTTCGGAGTAATTGTTCAACTAGTAACTTTTGGTTTTCTTGTAGTCAGTTTAGTAGCTACATCCTAAGTATCCGGCAAACTAAGCATGGTTTATTAGCTTTTATTTTTAACCTAGATTTATTACTGAAGTGCGAATTGGCGTACTTCCTTTAGAACCGACCCATGGTATTACATCCAGTGCTATTATTTTGACTTAGCTTGTTGTAGCGGATTAAACGAACACACATATGCTTTACGTTACAAAAATTGTTAAAAAATGTACTAGATACTGTTCTATTTTTTCATAATCCGGTTACCAGGTCAGGCTATTAACAAAAATCGTTACCCCTAGACAAATAAGCTGTCTTTCTCATCGTCTGCCACACACAGCGAGAGACGAGAAAAACAGCTAATCATTCCACATCAGCTAGAGGATGATTTTTGTTGGTAGTATGTTATTACTGCGATGCTTGAGAATAAGATTTTTTATTTGGTTGTAGTGGTATTCAAACTGATGTCCAACTCTGACAGGCAATTAGATGTCAGTCAGCGTTGTTTGACCTTGTTACTCTTTTGTATGAGTTACCTCATTTGATCCCGACCACACGCAATATGACACGTCATGCAGCAGCCGTCCAGCGCTAATTTGATTACTGAAAGATTAAACTATATTAATTCTGATCGGCAGTAGCTGTTTTTTACAGCCAAAAAAGACCAAATGGAGTTTGTAAGAGGTATCTATTAAGACTGCGGAATATAAAAATGAAACCCAATATACAAAACCAATAATTTGTATAATAAATATCTAAAAATAAATTACATTTACAACAATAAAAAATACTTTAAAGCAAATAAAAATCAAAAAATCAGAACGTCTTCATAAAAATCCATTATGTGAATTGACGATGATTAAAAACTGTATTGTTAATTTATCGATGTAATATAGCTGCGAGTCTTAGATTTTTGGCAAGCTTCTCACATGGATACACACATTATAGGTAGAACTTCCCTTCCCCGTGAAGCACAATTCAACAAATCCAGCTTTATCCAAAAATTATAAAATTTAATTTTGCGAAATTTTATTTATTTGATGATAATCGACGACGGAAACTAACAATGTTTTTAATACATGTGAAGAAAATTAAAAACAAGGTTGGATTATCGAAGCATAGTCGAAAGAATGACATTTTACCTAATATCAGTTGCATAGACGGTACGCTATTATTTTTTTAATTACATTTTCTTGCAAATATGAGAATATCCACGACTTTATTTAACAATGATAAAAAAGAATTACAATATTTAGTTCTCTGTTTTGAGGAGACAAATTCACTAAAATCAAACAAACTGACATTCTTTCGATGTATAAACATAAACATTTGAACTTAAGCTTATTATTAGTGCTGCTTTTCCCGTTATTCGTTATCTGCTTTAAATATATTTTACGTTGTCTGTACTTGGGGACGCAAATTCTTGGCACAGGCGCTGCGGGGAGTGTTATTTATGCCGCTAGTTTTTACTTTATAGAGGTTATCACAGGTTTTAAAGAAGCGGAATTTGTCGAATTATACTTCAAGTGCGAGAGAAGTTCTGTCGAAATAACCTTCGACCAATTTTTTACATAAGTTTACTTTATACCATCCCAGAAAAACACTACAAAATCAAAAGATAAATTTGTATAAGTATGTATGTAATAATTTTCTGCTATTGACTTACCTGCATAACATACTTCCACAGTTGTTTATTTGCATTTTTGAAAACTTTTCCAAAGACAACGAAAACTTTAACCATCTGTTTCTCTTTCAGTGATCACGAATACGAACCTGTGAATCCACCACCCGACAACGTAAGTCCCGTAGCGACATCACCTCCGACGGTCCACGTAATCGATTCCGACCGCGAACCCAAACCTACAAGCCTGACTAGTAGCACCACGTCATTGGAGCGCCGTATGCTGGGTGCCGAAGTCGAAACTAGACCCGAAGAGTCTTTCACAGTGCAACAAATGCAGTCCGAAATCGAAGACAAATACTTCGCGAAATCCGCCGAATCGCCGTCTAAACCAAAAACTACCGTACACACCATCACTACCATAAGCACTTCCGAATCTCAGCAAAGCCAGCCAAAGAAGTCAGAAGGTCCAAGCAAATTCCAGCAGGCAATAAAAGCTCAAACCGACAAATTCAAGACAAAGATTCACGAGATCAAAAAACCCAACATCAAGCTGCCTTCAAAACCTACGTTCAAAAAACCCAACTTCCAGAAATTCAAAATCGAAAAACCGAAGATCAACTTGCCGAAAATACCAGACACGGCCAAAATTACTTTACCGACGTTCAGTTTGCCACGCAAAAATCCTCTGAAACGACCTCTGAAACAACGAAATTTATCGACGGAATCGAATGCCGGCGGTTCCAAGAAAAATTATTTCGACTTTAGAACTTATCCTAGACTATTCAAAAAGAAGCCAAAAGACGACCTCGAATCTTTCAGTTCGAAAAGTGAACGCGAAGCTCCCGAGTTCGCAACCGTCCCTAGGACGAAACGAAATAAAGTAGAAGATGACAGATGGGGTGGTCGTGACAGCATACGAATACCTCTGCGCGCGGAAGATTCGATCGAAGATGAGGAAAGAGAAGATTCGGTCGAAAGAAGGATAGCGTCTCATATGCGATACGATGATGATATCGATATTGACGACGCTTACGAAAAGGAAAACCAAGAAATACACACAGCGTCACCTTTTAGTCGCGGATACAACAGTCGCTGGAACCATGGAAGCTTCCATCCAACACCAAACCAAGAAATTCTAGATGATTCTAGAAACCGACAAGTTACGGATTTGGATTCTCCCATGGACGCACCTGCTCCCCATGAGAGCTTTGACACGAACACTAGTAAAGACATACATTCTTCTGAAAGCTCTCTGGGTATTCACCGTCGGGGAGTCCTTGAAGAAATCGATTCCGATGAATTCTTTTTACGACAGAAGGGTATTTCGCAAGACAACATCGAAGTAGGAATGTATCTCAGCTCCGAAATACGAGAGGCTTTTAAATCGCCCAGCAACGCTTTGGCTGACTTGCAAAGAGAACCGCTTGACTACTCGTACGACGCACGATTATCGAATCAGTCACTTCCGGAAACTCCGTCTAAACGTAAAGCTGCCAGAAAACCAAAGCGAAAGAAAACGCCTCATGTATCGCAAGAACAGGTTTCTTTTGACCAAGATTCGGAACTCGATACCGAATTACCACCTTCTAGACCAAAGCGTCGAAGCAGGCGGAATAAGAAGCAGCAGAAAGAGCTTGAAAGTATTATTCCGTATCAAGAGACCATAGCAGTTGATGTTCCAGATGTTACAATCGGAATCTTACAGAGCGATGACCACGAACACTTTATGTATGAAAATGAGCAGATGCAAGGAAAGGAACAACCAGAGATCACACTGATTGATCCTTACGCCGAACACGAAGCTAAATATGATAGCGAAGACGAAGTTTTCAAGGAAGATACTAAACCCTCGGCACCACCTCGTAAGCACAGAAGTTTAAAAAGTTTGACCTATTCAGAGCACGATTCGATTCTTGGTGACGTTGATCCGGACAGAGAACTTCCGTCTGAAGAAGTAAGTAACATGCAAAACAAGTGCTTTTATTTGTTACTAAACCCTAAATAAACTAGAGACATTCTTTACCACGGCGCACACGGAAAGAGTGAAGGTTAGGACCAATATTTCCACTTAAGACCCCATCTTGATTGTTAAATATTTCTACTGGCAAGATAAAATTTTAGCATCAACAGGATCTCATATCAGCGATGTCAACATTTCATGTGACAATTCCGTTTCAGTGTACATAATAGACTAAAACGGAATTATTTTGTATTTAGCTATCTTTTCTAATATTTGTGGGTTTGCCGGGAAACAAACCATCTTGTTGAACACTTAGGTAAAGGGCTTTTGAGAACAGACTCATAATATGGACCTTCAAGGAGCTTCAGTTTGTTCAAAATAAACCTTATCGCACAAAATAACAACTTAATTATCCATATGTGCTTTAACATAACATCTGCTTTGTTTCGGAAATCTTTTGGTTGCGAAAAAGTTTCTGTTCCAACAGTGGGCATTTCAAAAGATTTCATTTTTTGTCGTTAAGACTAATTTTCATGAGTGTTATCCTTATTAAAAGAACAAGCTAACTTCGTTTTTGCATACTCCTTTAAACATTAACAATAACGTTAAAACAAAACAAACACAATTGGAACTAACCTGCCGTGTTTTCCACAGGTTGAAATTTATAAAACAGAACACGAGTACATAATCCCTACGCCAGAAGTTCCTCCAACCAAACCAGCGCGAACTCTCTCCCGCTCCAGTTCCAAATCCAGAGAAAACGAAGACATCCACATAGTACAAGAAACTCCACCCAGACCCACCAGAACCAGATCTCGTTCACAAACGCAATCTCTGACGCTAGAAGAACCATGTGTTGAAGAAATTTGCGTCCAAGATTTTCGCGACAATATGGGTTATGCCATTATCGACAAAAATCTTAAACGGGAGCCGCCGCTTCCGCCTCCTCGCACTCCCCCTCGTCGCAAAAGATCGGTTCAGTCCGCTACCTCCGAACAAAAGTTCTTTACGGTACCGCGTCCGTTCAGCGATGAACCTCCGACAAGACCGATAAGGAATTACAGTACTTTGGGACCAAGCAGACCTCCGAGAAGGAAACCACCTGTGAATATGACAGATGAAGAGAAAGAGAATATCGATATCACGCAGTATATTGAGATAGAGGATGAGCCTAATCGTGATCTTCACTCGGGCGAAGTGATACAGAAGATGCGCGATCGTCCTCTGCCTGCACCCCCGCGACCGCCTAGGAAGACTCGAGCTCTTCATGATATCACTTCTGAAGAAAATATCTTGACGAAGTCACAAGAAGATCTAGAAGAAATAGAGAAAGAGTTTCTTGAAGAAGCAGAAGTTTCTACTCAAACTGAACCACTTCCAGATGATTTTCTCTGTGACGAAACAGTGCCGTATGAGACGGAAGAGGTTACGATAGTGACCGAAACGTTAGCGGAAGAAGAAACTGCACCTGTTAGGGTTGAAAGACGGTTAATTACCCCTACGAGTTACACGTACGACGAAGAAACTATTACCCATGGTTCTTTGGTGGTACAGCCATTAAATGGTGCTAAAATATTACCAGACTCAGAATTTAGTCGAATAGAGTCACCCATAGAACGGATTGTTCCAATAAGTAAAGATTATGAAGATGAAACTTCAGAAATACCCCAAGAATTTACAAAACTCAAGGATCCTGAACCAGTACAAACCAGTCCACGCCCTCCGGCTGAACAACCATCACGATATACGGAATCTAGGGATCAACCATCTCTGCAAACCACTCCACTTCAACCTTCAGTTATCGAAAGGATAATTGAACGTCCAGTGTTAGTTCAACCAGACTCTAGTACTGAAGTTGAAGTGTTAAAAGCTCAAAGACTTCAAGTTTCTGATTTAGATGTAGACAGGTTAAGTGTGAACGAATTGTTAGCCAGCAGGATAATCGTGTCAGAAATCGATAGCGGAAATATTCAAGCTACCGAGATAAGCTCCAAGTCCGGAGCTTTGAAGGTCGGTGAAATAGAATTACCACCAGGAATTATCCAGCAACTGTTCGAAAGATTGCAATCGGTTGCACAAGAACAACAGACTAGTGGACCAAGAGATCCAACGCCTGCTGCTGAAACTTCTACAAAAGAAGAAGAAGACGACGCAGGACAAAAAAAAACTCCGTTTGAACAAGTAATGGTTGAAGCGCCTCCCCCACAAAGACCCCCCCGAAGAACTGAAGAAACCCATGAAACTTCAGTTCCTCCTACCGATGCTTTAATAGAAGAACCCCATATTATAGACATAGAAAGTACCCAGATCGATTCACTTAATATTTCTGAAACAGAAGAAATTCAGGAATCACACATACCTGAGGAAATTCAAGCTGCGGAACCCCCAGAACCACCAGTACGAACAGATTCCTCCAGAAAACAGACCATACCAGAACCAGAACCAGAACCGGTTTTAAACGTACCTGAAGATATCGAAGAAGTAATAGAACAAGCGCCTCAGCGACCCCCGCGTCACACAGAAAAAACAAAAACAGAAGAACCGTCAGAAGAAGTACCGGAACTAGTACCAGTAGAAGTAGAAGAAGAAGCACCAGAACTAGTACCATCAGAGGCAGAAGAAGAAACGCTAGAAAAACTGCCGGAAGATATACAAATAGAGCAGCAGCACATGGAAGAACCGGAGATTGACGACGAACCACCTCCTCGACCTCCCGAACCTCAAATCGAGTACATATCCTCGCAACCCCCTGCTAGTTTTTACGCCCTTAGGGCCCAACAATATGTAGAAAGTCTCGAAGGTGACATTCCCATGGCCCCTAGACGAAGGCGCCATCAAAAACCTCCCATTTCAAGGTCGAGTTCAGACGAAAGTCCGGTTTCACCACCCTCCAGACGTCGCTACAGATCTCCCGAACCCACGATTCCTCAGCTTACTGGTCAACTGATGCAAGCTTGTGGGTCAGCTGCCAACAGCTCTATTAAAAGACTGATATCTTACATCACTAATAACGTTTTAAGGAATACAGATGGACAACAAGATTTACACGTTATGATCGTTCTGTTGTTAATTTTAATCGCCGGGTTAATTTTGTTAGGTTATGGTGATGGAAAGACTGTTCATTATCATCACTGGGAATTCTTCAATCCTCCAGGGGACCTTTAATTTCTTCTTTTTTATCAATTTTTAAGTGGATCTGTTTTTACTAATTAAGTTTTTTGTTAATGTTGATTTTAAAGTTATGTAAATAAATGATTTATAGCCACTTGCGAACTCAATTCTTTACTGTCAAATATCTTTTCAATAAATTAATAACTTTAACATTCTATAAACTTGCTATATTTTTTCTTAATAAACTATTACCTCACTGAAATAATATCAGTCAAACATATCGTCGTACGATACGAGGTTTCGCTTGTCCCTGTGGTTGCCTTTCTGGGAATGACTTGACGCTGTAAAAAGAATGACAAAATCAAAAACAACTCAAACAACTTTTTTTCAAATATACCTAAGGTTGCCCATGCTGCTGACGAAGATGCATCATTTATTGGTTCTATTTGAGGCTGACGCCTAGCTAAAGTTACTTTTAATTGAATACCTGACACCATACTGCCATCCATCTAAAAAAAAATATTTTTCACAATCTAGTAAAAATTGCTAAATCACAGCCACCTCTGCAATTGCACGTTCTGCAGCTTCCACTTTATCAAAAGTTACGAAACCTCGACTAAAACATAAAAACGTCACAATAACAAATTAATGTACTTCCGAAAACCCACTTTTTCTCAATTTCCATTGAAATATTCACAATATTTCCAATCGTTGAGAAATGTTTTTTCAAAAACTCTTCCGTGATTTTATATCCAGAAACATAAATTGTGTTGCCTTGCCGAGGTTTATCAGGCTTTTCGCGCTGCTTCTCCGTGAGACCCCTTTCTTCCCTGTCTCTGGCATTGGCAAAAGTATCATACAAATTCTTGATTCGCGGTGGTTTATTTTCTGGATTGTCGGGACCGTCATCCATTTGTACTGCAGAAAATGGTTGATATCCGCTCACAATTTTGTCAGAAATAAGTTTCCTTTCAAGGCCTCGTGGTCGTTTAAATCCTTGTTCTGGTTGTTTCTGTTGTTTTGAAATAGCAGGAATTGCACCTGATTTGATGAGTTTTTTTGCTACTTCTCGAGCATCTCGGGCTTCCGCTGGACGTTTAGGCGTAATAGGTTTCTCTGGTTCGGGTTTCGGGGCTTTTAAAGCTTGTAAGGCTTTTTTCTACAAGATAGAAGTTCCCTTTATTTTCGTTTCAAAAGTAAATTGTACATTACCTTTTTTTTCAGTTTCTGGTATTTAGCTTGGAGCATAAGCTCCTCTTCTGTGAAATTGGCAGGAAAATGAATGTACACCATTTTAAATTCGTTGTTTATACACAACAACCACACAACAACTATTTCTTAAACTAGGAGTAAACATTTGTTTTGATAACTCTTTAATTTGACAGAATTGACACTTGTTGAAACAAGGGTCGCCAACATAACCGACCATAACAATCTTGACATAAATATAACTAGATTCGCATTTCCAAAAATTGATAAAAATTATTAATTAAAACCTAGTTTTATTTATTACTTTCTCATTTATAATAATTTTGCAAATAAAACACCTGATTCTCCAAAAATAGCATGTTTGGAAGTATTAAATAATAATCTGTACGAACGGTAGTGACTAGCGTCCAGTTAGGTTAACTTAGCATGTGTTCAGTTTTTTTGGATATAAATGTCATGATTTTTTTATTTGTCACAAAATAGTACTGGAAGTAATTTTAGTCTTTTAAACTGCTCAAACTCTCCGACATTACTTTTTATTTAAATTAAAATGAAATTTTACGTAGAACCGTTGTCCAAATGCACCCAACGTTTGGGCTCTCTTTCAGAGATCGAATCCAAACCGACAGTTAACATAAAGACTCCTGCTGTAATGTTGCATACACAGGTAACCCATTCCAGATCTCAGTACTTTTTTGTAGAAACGTATTTTATCAGGGCGGACAAATTCCTCATATAACACACGAAGTATTCAAACTGGTGAGTAGAAAGTCGCAAATACTTCAAATTCCCTTAGCTGGAATGCATACATTTAAAGAAGCAATGCAGTATTATGAGGGCACCATATCAAGTTTTATTGGTAAGTGGGTAGATGTAAAGTATATTTATATAAATAATTTTGTAGGCAGTAAGGACAGTCTCTCATGTTTGACTTTACAAGACCCTTGTAATATAACAAAACAAGGCCATCATTCTACTTTGAAAGTTCCAATTTGGACAAAGAATGGCAAAGTTTACTATGACGCTAAAAGTTACATGGACGTTGTGGAGTCTTTTAAACCAGACATCTATTTCCTGCTCTCTGATGGAGATACAAATATTAGCAGCTCTGAGAAACGAATAGCAAAATCTGTCAGTAATACCATGAACTTTTATAAAGAATGTTTGGATAGACACAGAAAATCAGACGCTTTGAAACATTCCTTTGTAATTGCACCTATAGTTGGGGGTTACAAACAAATATCTAGAGAACGCTATATTAGTTTTATACTCGAAGACATGAAAAATGTAGATGGATTTTTAATAGATGGCCTCCATAATAACGGACCAGAGGCTGAATTTCTAGAGTTTAATGAGATAGAACCTATAGTTAGATGTATTTTGGTAATTAGATGAATAGTGGTTTTAATGAGACAATAATAAATATTTCTAGAATAAAATACCTACTGAAAAACTGCGTGTAGTGCAAGGTTGCTGGAACCCAGTTAACATAATCAATTTGGTGGAGCTAGGAATCGACTTGTTTGATACTTCATATTGTCACATACTTACAGAGAGGTCAGCTGCAATGACATTTGCCATCGAAATAACAGACCAAACCAACACTTATGAGATCAATCTTAGAGACTCAAAGTAAAAATAATTACTTAAATTTGACTGTTATTATCAGTATTGTCGTAGGTATGTGGATGATTTCCAGCCAGTTTTAATAGGGTGTGAGTGTTTGTCATGTACCAAGTATTCTCGAGCATACATTCATCATTTGTTGTCAGTACATGAGCTTCTGGGGCCTATATTAGTGATGATGTAAGTATTCATTACTTTCCTGTCAAAATATAATCACATATTTTTTCAGCCATAACGTGTATCACTATTTGCGATTTTTCGAAAAAATAAGAAGCTGCATTCAAAATAACACACTGCAAACCCTTCAACTTAGTATTACAGAACAATTCAGGAATCATCAAAAAACAAAATGAAGCACAAAAATACGTTTTTAGCACAATTTAAAATTATAGTTGTGACTGTAAGATATTTTTATACCAAATATAAATTGTCTGTTTAATGAGGACCGTTTTAAATTATTTACGTTAGAACGCATATAAACAATGCATATTTAATTTGACATAGTTAAATCAACTTTCTTTAATTTGGCAAAGTTTCACAACAAAGCGTTGCTAAATATCCTTACCTAAAATAAGTAAATGCTGTGGGGAGTCACCTGTCAATTAGCGATTAGCGAATCAGCTGTTTTTATTTGTAAGGTTAAGTAGTTTGTTGTCTTTTGTGCTCTACATACTTAATTATGTTCCATTTGAATTCTCCTACAACGAATGACTTCGTTATGTACAGTTAACTTCTTTATTTGTAATAATTAAAACTCAAGTGGCAACCATTTACTGTAAATCGAAACTACGTTTTGAGGTTATGACTTGTGTTACTTCCTACTATTTTTAAACTACAATGGGCGATCAGCAAAATTTTGACGTTGCTGAAAATTTCAATAAACTTGAAGTAAAAGACATATCCCACCCTTTGAAAGTCAACAATATTCAAATAACGCAATGTGAAACTGCCGAAGAAGCAATAACAACAGATTCAGAGGACTATCTATCAGAGCCTTTAAGGTAGCCTTCCAGTAACGTCTCTGCATTAATTAAAACTAAGGTAACTTTTAGGTATCGCAGCTTTCAGTATTCCACTTCTTCCAATGAAACAAACTCCACTTTGGTCCAGGAACATACCATTCCAGAAGAAAACGCCAATTTTTTATCCTGTAATGGTGATATTAATTTTGACAATATTGAAATACCCATCGTGGGTTATGAGATAATGGAGGAGAGGGCGAGATTTACAGTAATAATAATTTTATTAATCTGCTTCGTGTTAACAATGATTACTTGTAGGTGTACAAACTAAGAATTGAAAATAAGGTGACAGGAGATTGTTGGTACGTTTTTCGGCGATATACCGACTTTGTCAGATTGTGTAATAGAATAAGGAATTCACATCCACAAGTTGTACAGTTGTTACCGCGAAAGCGGTGGTTGAAAAACAATTTTGATCCTATATTTCTTGAAGAAAGAGTCAGTGGTTTACAAACGTTGGTTAATGCCATAGTTGCTGAGTCAACGTTGATGGCGACGCAAGAAATTCAGGATTTTTTCTGTTTGAATGAACCGCCAATTTATTCAGAAACAAATGAAGAATCTAGGGTAAATTAATACATATGTAATATGAATACATAATTTATGTTTCATTTTGCAGGCAATGTTTGAAGCCTTGGAAGAAACTATCAATGAATTAAAAGTGCAGCTAAGAGAAAAAGACGCGATTATAGATTCTTTACAAGATTCTTTACACACAAAAACTTTAGAAAGTGAAAATTTATTAAAAATTATAAAGTAGGAGTTAGTGTTACTTGTTTGCTAGTTCTGATTGTTTCATGTTTTAGGAGGTCAACCATGAACTGCCAGAAGTGTCAAAAGGAGTGTGAAAATTTTACTAAAGTTATTAAATGACAAAAATGTTTATCATCCTCTCTTACTTTATTTTTAGTCAGATGACACAATGCTACACTAATTCCTTAACACAGTATGATATTTACATTAACTTATTTTAAAAATTATGATTAGCTGTATAAAGATCAGCTTGTCTAGTATTTCTAGTAAATAAGTTAGCATTCATTAGCTTTAATTAAAATTTTCAAATTAAGTTTTCATTCTGATATGAATGAATCCGAAATAAATTTGCACTTCTTTATAAATAACAGTATTTGTAACGAAATTTTTCGGTGAAGCGTGTAACACAACACTCTTAAATGCTGGGAAAGATATTCCTGGATGTTGTATTTTTGTAACCAGACACTTGTACATAATTTTTATAAAAATACATTTTTATTGTCGGTTTTACTTCATATTTTTATTTACCCTATTATTATGGTACCTAGGTGTAAAGCATAAATTCATACCATCAGTTCATAGAATTTGTAAAAAGTGAAGTACAAAACAACATATCCACCTTTTTCGAAAAATTATTAAATTTGATTTTGTAACTCATTTTTTATAATTCCTATAAGTAAAAATACAAATATCTGCTGTAGTGTCCTGAATTTAGAATTTAAATTTCGCGCCGAGACAAATTCAATAATTATTAGATAACTATGCAACCATTCATGTTTCAAATTTTGTAACCCTCGACTTAGCGTACGGGATTGGAATACAAGGGCAATGCAGATATAATTCAAAAAAAGATCTCGCATACGTCCAGTTTTTAAGCGTCCATTTCATTTCTTGTTTAGTAAGTGCAATGAAACACATCTTAGAATTTAAAGTATTTACTTACGTCTAATAAGTAATTTAGTTTGTAGGTATTTTCACTAAGGACAATTGTTTAAACAAAAAATGAATCGCATTTGATGCCACAGTCCGCCAATCTAATCTGAAATGTGTAAAATTTTAACTTTTCCATTAACACGTGTAATTTGGTTTTATGATTTGTGTTGTGTATTCCGTATATCACAGGTATAAGACTCAATAATAAGACGTCAGATTATTGTAGGTTTATTCACCACGTTTGTTCCACACGTGTGTATCGACATGGCGTCCATGACACCCTTGCATTGGCTATTGTTGGTTGCATATATAACACATCTCCCTCTTTAACTTACAACTACAAAATATTCCTCCTAACAATGAAATTTACCTAAACTAACTAAAATAATATTTACAGGTTGAAATCTTACATACTAACAATAAAATCATCTAGGATCTTTGGGGTTTTCCTAATTCTAGATGGTCTAATACATTCATGTGCTGCGGGAGGACACATTGGCTCGGTGGCTGGTAAAGGATGAGTGTCCTGACGTGTGTTGTTCATACCTGCTGGTACAGGATCCAGATTAGTGGAAGTGCTACGTACTGGGGCAGGGATGGGTAGTTGTGGTAACGTAGGATCGTAATTTATGGGCATTCCGATTTTCACATTGCAATGTCCTCTGTGCTGTTTAATGGCGGTGCTTTTACTCAATACTGATTCGCAACCCTCACTCCTTTTCTTTATTTGATTTGGGTGACGTTTCCACACCGTTCCAGATGCGAGCTGGCATAAATAAGTGGCGTTGCCAATTGTTTTTATTATTTTCGCATCAACCCATTTCCTCTCGGTTGTCCGATAGTCTCTGATTATGACTTTGTCGTTGATTTTAAAAGTTCGACTTGTAGTTGGTTCGCGGGGTATTTTTTTTGAGACATGGTCAGTACGAGTCATTAGATGAAACCTTGTACGTAATTCTCGACCAAACATAGCACTAGCTGGAGATATTTTGGTCGTCGTATGCGGTGTGTTTCTATAAACTAGCAGGAAACGGGAAAGTATCGTCTGGATGGTGGCATTTTTATTTTGTTCATCTGCCAATGCCGACTTCAGCTTGTTTTTTACTATTTTAACACCGTTTTCAGCAAGGCCGTTACTTTGAGGGTTGTATGGCGAGATTGTCATGTGTTTGATTCCGTTCCGGTAAAAGAAAATCTCCATTTCTTCGGAGACGAAGGAAGGTCCGTTATCGGAAACAACTGTTTCTGGCAGCCCAAATCGAGAGAAGCAGTCTCTCAGCATTTCTACAGTACTCTCGCTTGTAATGTTTTTCATACTGTAAATTTCTAACCATTTAGTGCAGCTGTCTACTATGATCAGGTATTGTCTTTGCAGGAACGTGAAAAAGTCCATGTGGACTATTTCGAACGGATTAGAAGATTCCGGCCAGGATACATAGGTTTTTGGGGGATGAGATGTGACAGACAGACAAGCTTTGCACGATTTGCATATCTGTTCAATTTCTTTGTCGACTCCAGGAAACCATAAGAACGATCTCGCCATAGCTTTCATTCGCACGATGCCTTCATGAGTAGAGTGTAGTTCTTTTTTTACTATTTCTCGCATTGTGGTTGGTATCACGATACGGTCTCCAAACAACAAACAGCCATTTACCACGTGGAGGTCTAATTTGCGATTATAAAATGGTCGATAATTTTCATCGATCTCGTTTGGCCATCCCGATCGAACAAATTCTATAACCTTAGTTAAGATAGCGTCATTTGCTGTTTCTTCTTTTACCATTGTATTGTCTATCGGAATATCTACATTAGAGAAATATATGCTATTGTATTCTACTTCGTCAACTGTAAATTGCTTGTCTAGTGGTAATCGCGATAAACAGTCTGCGACTGCGTTGTCACGTCCCTTTATATGTTCAATTTGGAAATCGAAGTTTGAAAAATACAGTGCGTAGCGCTTTATTCGATTAGCATATGTCTGATTTATTTCCTTTTGTTTCCCAAACAAGTAGACCAACGATTTTTGATCTGTTCGCAAAATAAATCTCTGTCCATATAAGTATTCTTGGAATTTGTTTATGGCGAAATAGCATGCTAAACTTTCTTTGTGTACTACTGAGTAGTTCTGCTCAGCTTTAGTGTAAGTTCTTGATACACATGTCACCATTTTTTCAGTGTTGTCTGTCATCTTGTGTGCAAGAACTGCTGCTATGCCACGTTCAGAAGCATCACATGTTACAATGATGGGTAGATTAGGATCGAAGTAAGTTAGAACCGTATCAGACGCAATCTTTTGCTTAATACTTCTGAACGCTGTATCACATTTATCTGTCCATTGATATTTAACATCCTTTTTTAGTAACTGATAGAGGGGTGCTAGAGTTTCTGTAATGTTGGGTATAAATTTGCTATAATAATTAACCATTCCAATAAACGATTTAAGTTCGGTAATATTATTTGGTGGTGGAGCAGATGTTATTGCTTCGATCTTATCTTTGCTTTTACTTAAACCGTTTTCTGATAAGTCGTATCCCAGATACGAGATTTTACTTTGGAGAAACTGACATTTATCCAGGTTTACCGTTAGGCCTGCGTTTTTTAATATGGTTAGGGCTCGTCTCAAAATATCTAGGTGGTTTTCGCCACGTTTATGTCCGATTAAGATGTCATCCTGGAAGGTGAATACATTGTCGATGCCTTGAAAAAGTTGGTCAATATGTTTTTGGAAGTAAAAGCTTGCACACTTAATCCCAAAGGGCATTCGGTTAACCATGTATAATCCTTTATGCGTGGATATAGTGACCAGCTTTTTTGACGCATCATCGAGTTCGAACTGCATATACGCGTCGCTTAGATCTATTTTGGAAAATTTGTAATTTCCTTTCAGATTAGCATAAATCTGATCTATGCGTGGTAATGGATAATACACATCTACTAGATTTTTGTTGAGATTTATATAGCTACCACATATGCGTACGGTGCCATTTTTTCGCAGAACTGGGACAATATGGGAACTCCATTCTGCTGTTACGGTTGGTGTAATGATTCCTCTTTGAATCATCCTCTCTAATTCGTACTCGACTTTGGATTTAAGGGCTAAGGGTACAGGTTTCGGAGAATGGTGCTTTGGGACGGCGTTAGGCTTTAACTTCAAAGAAATCTTACCGTGTTTAAAACATCCGAGAGCTGAAGTACACACATCAGGAAACTCCCCCCTTAACGTAGTCTTCACGTCCACCACCGAGTCAATGGCGTTTATTCCTGCTGGAGTGAAAATAATGTTAAAATTATTGATGAAATCCCTGCCTAACAATCCTGTCATAGCATTTTCAATTACAAATAGTTTTAACTCACTTGCCATATCTCCATATTCTACTGTAACATTTATGAATCCTAATGGTACAATTGATTCACCTGTGTAACCTTTAAACGACATTACTGTTGGATGAATTTGGTAAGTGTTCAAATTATTTACATAAAACTTGTTGCTTATTGCAGATATGCCGGAACCTGAATCTAACTGCATGCAATATTTTTTGCCATCTATTAACACAGAGAGTTCGATTGGCTTAAGAGTGTTGTTAATGTTATATATAGAGTTTAGATAATGTCCTTCGTCATATATACTAACCTCGCTTCCGCTTCCTTGTTCACTTTGTAGGGTCTCCATTGCGTTGATCTGCCTTGCCCTGCAGACACTCTGTAAGTGTCCCTTTTTGCCACATGCATTGCAGGTATAATTCTGGAACTTGCACGTTCCAGCATGTGTTTTGCCACAGCACTTACATTTCACGGTGGTTCTGCTTTGGTTCTTCACTCTTCCCATGTCATAACTTTCTTTATATTCTTCATTTGCATCTGGTTTTCTGGGTTTGTGTTGGTTTCTTCCCCGGAAGTTGCCTAGTTTATGGTGACCACTGTATACTGCCTGAATTCTGTCCTCGCTTCCTTTACCAGTGGTGTATGCTAACGCCAACTCCTTGCTGTTGGCAATTTCGATTAACTTCTCGAGACTTTGACTGACTGGTTCTTCCACTAGTCGGTCCATCACGGGTCCCTCTCGCATTCCCGACACGAACCGATCAACCAGTGTCTCTTGGAGGTGCTCAAATTTACAGTTGACCGCGAGATTTTTTAATCTTGCATACCACTCATTAGAACTTTCTTCGGCGGTTTGGTGGGCTCGGAAGAACTGAATTCGTTCCCTAAACACGTTTACTTTTGGACTGAAATGCTTTTGGAGCTCCTTTTTCAGCTCTTCTAAAGACTTGTCCTTGGGTGGAATTGGAAATGATAAATCGCGAAGTATCTTGTATACATCCGTTTCCATCTGACTTAGCAACAGGGCAACTTTGCATTTTTCGTCCACGATTTTGTTCACGAGGCAGAACTGTTCGAACCTTTCTTCGAAAATCGTGAAGTCACTGTCCGGTGTGAATGTAGGGATAATGCCGATGTAACTAGCCATGCTTGAAAGTGCTTTTCAGAACGGTTAGACTTTCTCACCTTTTCCTCCCGTTCTTGCGTTGAAAGTTACTCCCTTGTATTCATAATTTGCTCGTCGCCATATGTTGTGTATTCCGTATATCACAGGTATAAGACTCAATAATAAGACGTCAGATTATTGTAGGTTTATTCACCACGTTTGTTCCACACGTGTGTATCGACATGGCGTCCATGACACCCTTGCATTGGCTATTGTTGGTTGCATATATAACAATTTGTTTGTGTTGTCCGTTTATGTTAAGATTTTTAACTACATGTTTATGGTTCTAATACAATTTAATAATCATGTAAATCTATATATAAAATATTTCATTTAGTTCGTTTATGGCATTTAAACAAATCTCAAACGATGATACATCTTGAGCCAAAGGACCTTGGAAATTATCATCAGACAAATTAACAACATCGTCGATGGGAGAATGTGTGAGATTTAATTTGTACTTTTTTTGTAACTTTAAAATGTTTGCAAAATTTCCAAGTATTGGGTTTTGCAACTTCAAAGTTAAATTGTAATTTAAAAAAAAAAAGTGTCGGTATAACACATTTGTGTTTTTCCCAATATAGAAGTCTAGGGTAAAAAATCAAGATGGATTCATAAACTACGGCTATAGAAGTTTGTCATTTTATAAAATTTTGTCAATCTACACAGTTTCAAATTACATATAAATGTTTTGCAACAATCGATCCAGTAGTTTTGGAGAATATTTGTGTGATATATATCGACACAGGCGACAGATGTAAGACCACAGATGACAAACAGGCAGAGGAAAACGGCTCATTTATTTTTTCGAACTCTAGATCGTGAAACGTCGAAAAAAACATGAAAGTAGGGTATCGCCGGATGTATCCTATTACAAAACTTTTATAGCTTACGCTCGAGAAGTAAAAACAAAACAAACGTGATAAAAAAAAAAAACAAAAATAGTTGCATGAGTTTTAACGTGTTTATTGCAGTCAAGAAGGTATATTTGTCATATTTAATCTTTTATTTTTATAAATATATTATATACCGGGTGACTATTAATGATTGAAGCTAATTTTTGAGTTGGAAATTTTGAATTATTGGCAGCAATGTTAACATGTCGATTCACACATAATGAGAAGAAGGCAACTACTGAATTGACGTCCAAAATTTCAATTTTGCATTAGGTATTATGGTATCATAAAATTTTAAATATGTTGCAAACCTGACAAAAAAACACAAATATGAATAGTCACATATAGTATTTTTTAAAGACTATCTATTATAATGTTGCAAGTCTGACATCATCCCCCAAAAAATTCTATTTTTTTTTTTGAAGACTAGATATAAAAACCAAGAGAGATACAAAAATTGGTCTAAAGAGTTTAGACAGTACTTCCCTCGCTGTCGAGAACGTGACTACTGCAAGCCTATTATGTCTTTTTTCCTATTACATTTTTGTAATTCTTGATTTAATCAATAAAATTAATTGACTCAGTTAATTATTTCCAGATACCCTGCAAATCTAAAAAATATTAATGCAATGATAAATCACAAGTATAGACTCATGATTCTTTACACATTTAAGCATTTTTTCAGCAAAATTTTGCGGTGGCGTCATCAAATTTTTAGAGGGGATGAGCAAATACATTTTGATCAAAAACTTACCATGCCTATGATAACTTTAAAACATGTCCAAGATTTCAAAGCATTCGGTTTTGCAGATTCAAAATTAAATTGCAAAATGTTGTTTCATAATTTTGATTTTTTTTTTTCAAAAATCTGGACGTTTCAGGTAAAAACTCAATTCGGAGTCATAAACTACATGTGTAAGACTATGTTATTTTATACAATTTAAAACCCATTTACTATGTACAATTTTGAACTGACGTCATCGCTTTAGTCATGCGGATGATTAGACAAATTTTGGTTAGCATTTTACCACCTACATGATATTCCTAATACAAATACAAAATTTCGCAACAATCGGTCCAGTACTTTCGGAGATTATGTGTCTAATAAAAATCCGGGACGGCAGACAGACGGAAACAGGAGACCTATTTCTTCGTCATCTAGCGGTCATGAAAGGCCGAGAAAACGTAAAAGTAGAGAGTCGGCCGACGGACTCGATTACAATACATACTTCCTTTGCTTACGCTCGGGAAGTAAAAATACAAATTTCTTTCAACAGTTTTAAGATTATTGTTTTATTCTTTTTTTCTTTACCTACCAACCTACCATACATCACTTAATATTTTGGTTTTCATTAAACGTCGCCGTCGTGTATAGGTTTAATTATATGAAACTGCTGCTTTAGTAGTGAAAATGTCTTAGATTAAAAACATCACGATTCGAGTAAAAATTCAAGCAATACAAATAACAGAATAGCATTTCTTTAATGTTTAATTTTTTTCTAAAAAAAAACTTGTAGTAAATTAATTACATATGACTAAAGTTTCTTAGTTGAATCATTTTTATTTTCTAGTACTTCCAACATTCATTTAAACATCATTCAAATAATCTAAGGTATAAATAATTTTAATTCTTAGATGACAGGTAAGGAACGTATTAAACTAAAGTCACTAGATCTACTATTACTTTTAGAAAGTACGGCAAACTGCCTGTGGTCGGAATTCGACAGAGAGGAACCTAACCTATGTGTTAAACAAAGATAGCGCGAGGCTAGTAATTTTCGCTATCTGTCAACGAAAGGTTGATGTGTTTACGATTTGAGGTTACGACAGACTGTACTAGAATTATTGAGTTAACGGACCGGAAAGAACACTATTCCAGTCCCAAAGTAACTCCAGCCCTATTCAACGAGAAAGTGTCACCGGTAACCAGCAAACAGTCGTGGAAGACGTGTTACCACCAAGGCAATTGACGGCCAAATGACAGTAAGAGGATCGCCATACTGGAAGCAAAAAATACCTGCTGTCGAAAAGACGGAGCATAACAAGGACACAGATATATTTCTATTTCATAAAAGTTACTAATTGCCACACATTTCAAGATTGAGTCACATTATATTAAACAGCGTCGTTCTAAAATGTCCAATTCTGTGTGTGTTTTTTTTAGTGATTCATACAAATATTCCAAGTGTGATTTGCTTATGAGAACAAATAAATCCATGTGAAACTACCTAATCGACTGTATACAATTTTGAGGATATTTTAAAATAAAGTAATTATTAAATGGTGACCAAAATTTTTTTCATTCACCATCTCTTGTCAAAATATTTATTTATTGAAAGACTTCTGATTTGAAATGTTCAATGTGTTCATCTGTTGTTAAAAAATACATCATCTACAACTTTATGCATAAGAATTACCTTAAAAATAAGTTTGAACCATTAAATTTTGCAACATAGCTCAGAAATTTTAAAACCAACATGTATTTATTAGTCATTACTCAATGGGCAGTATACTCTGAAATGTGGTCGCATTTGTGTGACGTAATTTTTCTTTATATTTTAAAATTACGTAGGTACGAAATATCTCAAAAATTAAATTTACCAACAGATTCATTTCAATAATTTTCTCTAAAGATTGTCATGCATAATCAACAAAAAATACGTTAAATAAAGGAATATGAGAGAAAAGGCAACTTAGATGTGACATGTGTTTTCTCATTTATAAAACACGAAATGAAGAGGAGTAATATTTGTAAGTTCGCTATTTCAAGAGTATATAAATTATTTCTTAAACTATACTCTGAAGCCTAGATCAAAGATACTTTTCAAAGACTAGTACAAGGAACTCTTAGCATTAAGTTATTTGACTCGAACTATATATAAACAAAACAAAAAAAAATCGTAAAAATGGCAAATACTTTCTTGGGGGAACCTTTGGTCACCCGGCGCATCCACCATTTTAAAATGTTCCATTACGAGTGGTATTAAGAATTCGACATTCACATATTTAAGTTTTTATTCAAGTATATCTAAAAAATGTAAGTTAGTTCACTCTTCAGTTTTAATGAAACACAAAAAGTTGTAAATAGTTAAATAACAAAATCTTTATTTCTGCACTTTTGCAGCTTGTAATTTCGGCAATGAATATTTACTTTTCATGTACACTTAAACTTTTAGACCATACTAGTTAATACTTGTAAAATATATCAATTTAAGTTGTTAATAGTAACATGAGCATAATTTGTATTTTACAACAAATCGCTAATTGTTATAACTACCTCAGAATCACTTTCCTATACAATGATGCGCATCAGTTAGCCCGTCGACGCATTTATAAAGAGGTTTTATTTAGATAGTTTTGTTCAGTTTTGAAAGATATTGCAACAAATTTAGTTGTTTTGTAGTATAATAAAATGGCTACCGGTAAGTGCAAAAGAATTTTACTAAATCGTAAAACTAATACTTAAAAGTGTACCAACTTTTCTATTTAAATTTGGAAAAATGTATTAAAAATAAGAATGTTTAATGGAGTCAAATCACTATTCTTAAGAGTTTTTAGTTTACATTCTTGCCAATATCCCGATAAGTAACTTCCAGTTACTTTGTTGTTAAAATGCGTCATAAAATAATCTCAGATATTTGTTGACTGTAAAATTAAAAATGCACAGACTAATTTTTTAAAGTTTTTTTGAACTAGTAGACAACTAAATTCAGACAATTCGTTTACTGTTAAAATCATCTTAATTGTTTTGGTAATTTTTAGGATTCTTAAAAACGTTAATATATGAAAAATTATTAAAGTAAGGGCATAAAGGTGTATAAGTTGAAAAATAGTTTTACAATGGTAAAGAAACGAGGCTAAATGTTGTCCCTTTCAATAATTATTGAATTTACTTTCAGCTTTCATACTGTATACATGTGGTAAAGATTTTTTAATTTTAATTCACTGCAGTAATTAAATATTGGAAACTAATTGGAACGATAATTTTGTGAAAAACAGAAGTATTATAGAGGCCTCCAGAGTTTTCTTAAAATGAATTTATTTGTTTTTGCAATTTCATTTACAAATTTTTACAAGTTGTACTATGCTTACACGAAAACAAACAATGTTTTACACTTCGATTTTATCATTGTGTTTAAATTTTTAAACAACAAAAATAGTGCAATGTCAATATTCTGAATTTTATTAAATATATACAGGGTGAGTCAATAAAGGTACGGTTTTGGATATCTCATTAATCATTAGAGGTAAAAAAAGTCAGCCAAAGTTGTGTAGTTTATTCATACTATAACAAAGCGGCTACCTTATACTACATAGCATAGAACAAAGTCTCTCTCTGTGTGTGTCTGTCTGTTTGTCTGAATGCGATAATCTCAAAAACTACTGTACGGATTTAAGGATATAATTTATGAAGGTTTTGTGTAAATTAGCTGAACTATGATAATAATTGTCGAGTAAGTCAGAAAAAACCATACCATCTGAACATATCGGAGGTTGCACATTTGTTTTGTTTCACAGTATTGTCTGTCGTGCATTATTATTAGACAGAACACATAATAGTGTGTTTTGTAAATATATTTTATTAATTACGTATGTACTTTTGTTTGAGTGAGTTTTAGAAGGGTTGCAAGTATTAAATAAACTTATTTTTTTAGAAAAATTGGAATAACTTGAACGTCACATAAGAATTTCAGAAATGTAATACGCTTGTATTTTTTTATCTCTAATAATAATTAATAAGATATCGAAGAGCGCGCGCTTGTTGACTCATCTTGTATATAATTTTTGAAACATTTTTGTGTGAATTAAAGGTAAACACTCAACAATATGTAATGTAACTCACCATGTGTCAAAACTGTAAACAAGGATTAGATGTGTTTGATTAGATCTGTAACAGTGATTTGTCGCGTGTGACGTTACATCAGCATTCGCATGTGACAAGGCTACGAAAACACGTACACAAATATTACGTTCGTATGAAGGACAGTTTTAAATTAGTATAATTAAAACCACAACATTGAATTTTTATATATTTCTCATTATAGCGGCTAAAATAATATACAAAAAGATATTAGTTTGAAAGACTTCTTTCTACCATTTAATATGAAAATTTTACTTTGTTGCCGAAACTTGAGAGTAAACAGGTTTTTTCAGTTGAGGTCTTCATAAAAAAATAGGGTTCTACATAAAATTTTCTTTTGATTTTAGAAGAAAGTATAGAAGGGCAGCCGAAAGAAGTAGTTCGCCTCAAGCGCGAATTGGGTCTGTTTTCGGCTATCAATTTAATGATAGCTGTTATGATAGGATCAGGTGTATTTGTATCTCCATCTTCAACATTAGAACATACTGGATCAGTAGGAATGTGTTTAATTGTATGGACTGCATGCGGAATCATCTCAATGTTTGGTAAATTTTCAACTTATTCAAAAAATCCAAGAAATATTTTTGTACTAAAACAATCCCGACTGTGTGTCAAGTTTCACACTCAACTTTGCTAAAAATTGTTTTTTAGGTGCCTTGGCATTTGCTGAACTCGGAACAATAATCCCTCGATCGGGTGCTGAATATTCTTACTATATGGATTCGTTTGGTCCTTTACATAAATTCTGGGGCAGACTTCCTTCATTTATTTACTCTTGGGTTTTAATATTTATTACGAAACCCGCAGAAGTCGCTATAATAATTTTAACATTTTCGGAATACTTGTGCCAACCAATTTTCGATGTAATGTGTATACACAATTCGGAAGACAGCGAAAGAGTCAAAAAAGCAGTAGCTTTGTTGGCTTTAGGTAAAAATTTCACTTACAAAAGTTGTTTTTAAAGATGTTTTGGTTGAAGGATTGATTACTTACATAAACATGTCTAGCGTGAAACTGTATGTTAAAATACAAAATATTTTCGGAGGTTGCAAAATTATCGCTTGTCTTGTTGTGATTTTCGGGGGGCTGTATGAGCTAATAATTGAAGGTATTAGTAGTAACACAGAACCTCCACATCACACTACTTTAAAATTTCAGGTAACACATTTAATTTAACTAAAGGATTTCAAGGAACAAAATATTCTTCAAAGGATATAGCTCTTGCTTTCTACAGTGGATTATGGGCGTACGATGGCTGGTAATCAACACGGTTTTATAAAGTCTGTTACGGTATTTGCAAAATTTTAGTATTTTATTACAGGTCTGCCGTAACATTTGTTACCGAAGAAATTAAAAAACCCGAAATGTGAGTTTAATTTTTTTTATAATTATGTTAAATTTGTTATTGGTTTATTTCAGCAATATTCCTAGAAGTATAAGTATAAGCGTACCTATCATTACAGCATTATATGTTTTTATGAACGTGGCATATATGTCGGTGTTATCTATACCCGAAATAATGAGTGCCAAAGCTGTTGCTGTAACGTTTGGAGAAAGAGTTCTCGGGCCGATGGCCTTTTTAATACCTTTAGGTGTTGCTTTATCTACATTTGGATGTGCTTTAAGTATCCAGTTTGGAGTTACAAGGTAATTTGTTGCTATTTTTAAATGTGGAACCAACTAAAAAACGCAAATCTGTTGAAACAATTTTCGGACAAGTTTTGTCTAAAAATAAATTCGAGAATTTTCGGCTGATATTGAGTTATAAGGTCTTGATAGCGTCCATGAAACACGACACGCACTCAAAAATGCGTGTACAAGTTTGAAGTGGTTAAATGCATGCCGACGTCAAAAGGAAATGAGTATTATCTAAAAACCAAAAAACTGTATCAGAAATGTACGAAGTATAAAGATTAAGTTTAGTATCTCAGTTAGAGTCAACAACAAGTGTGGAACTACACTGAGAGGAAAGTGATAAACCATATCGCACTGTGAGAGCAATACTCACGTAACTCAAAACTAGCGTGTTTTGAGTAATGGTGATTTAAAATTCCCAAGTTCGTATATATTATTTGTATCTTAAATACCAAAGGTTTCGAAATACATTATAGTCGTATTGTCAATCTATTATTAATCGTGTTTTTATTCCTTTAGAGTAGAACCTTCTACTCGTTACAGAAAACAAGAAATTTTGACTTACGTGACTATTGCACTGCTACATCATATCAAATATTTTGGCTTGCGTGTTAATAAATTTAAGGTCAAACTAGCAACACATTGTAATGAAAAAAATATAACAAAACACAAAACGATCACAGTATTAATTCATTTAACATCTACACTGACGGGCAAAAAAACCGGCCACCCTGAAAAATTTCACAAAACCACTTTAAAACTTAATTTAACTAGTGATCGTTATTTTATTAAAGAATCATTCACTATTGACACATGTTGTACAAATTAGCACAAAAAAGAAGACAATTAAACGCAGAATTAAATTTAATTTAACGAAATAACAGAAACAGACCAAGTACGATATTTTCTTAAAAAAAAAACAATAAAGGAGGCTGTTGTTGTAAATAGTGTTTTTCATCATTTGATTATAAGTTTGGCAATTAATAAACGTTTTCACGCGAAAATAATTCCGTTAACTCTTACAGACGTCTTTCAAAGTGTCGCTCTGTTTCTGTTATTTTGTTAAATTAAATTTAATTCTGCGTTTAATTGGCTTCTTTTTTTTGCTGATTTATACCTTATATGTCAATAGTGAATGGTTCTTTAATAAAATAACGATCACTAGTTAAATTAATAATTTTTAAAGCTTCGTTTTGCGAAATTTTTCAGGGTGGCCGTTATTTTTTCCCGGTCAGTGTACTGTGGCTAAATTGTTATAAAATGTGTTATACAGGGTGTTAGGGAATGCTTGCAACAAAATTTGAAGGTAGCCTCCTGAAGAAGAGAACAACAAAAAATGCTAGTAACACTTTTTTCAAAGGTTAATAGTTTTTTCTATAAAGCATATCGAAAAATCAGTCCCCACATTTTGAGAACTGCCGACGTTGTCTTTTTTTTTCTAAGGTAGTTGTGAAAATTCTGGAACTAAGATGATTATTTCCTTAGAAACGATTAAATCTAATTTGTCAAAAATTGACAAAAATGTCACATTTACATCAATACAATAAACACCTTTGAGTTTTAAAATGTTTGATTCGGACGTTTAACGAAATAGACGCGGTTCCGACACGCTAATAAGAGTACCAACGTGGTTGTTAACGGAAATTTCAGAAAACACCACAAACGGCCTCTGAAAACCTACAGTGATACCAGAAAGAGGGGGTTTTTCGTTTTCCCCTGAAAAAAATCCCGAAGGAAAACACTAGAAAGATTAGAAAAATCTATCTTTCAGCAGTGTGGTAAATGAAATGTTGAAATAGTTCGTCAACTCAAGCGCAATAGCGCTCCCAGTTGATCTAATACTACGGCAAAAAGGGACAACTCATGGCACCCAACCTCGTGATAAAACTTTTCATCCTCCTCACTACCCTTCGACTTGATTAGTACAGACCCCTGTTGTTCGATCTTGAAAAAAGCGGCTATGGTTAACTGTTTGATGAACAAATGAGGACGCTCCACCCAAGATTCGGAGGAGTCTGTAGGACCTAAGTTCGTCGGTCCATATTTCCGAGTCCGGTCTGATCACTCGCCTAATGTGGTCCATTAATGTAGCAGCGGAACGGTTGGGAATGTAGGACAACTAACTCCGCTTGTTGATCGTTCGTATACCACTCGTTATGAAAATTACAACAAAATAATTTGCCGCTTGTAGGTAAAAATCCGAACTTATACAATGTACATGAGGCTCCTGGGCAAGAACAAGATGAGCAAACAATCCCGGCGCAAGCCGTGTACTCGAAAGTGAACCGTAGCAAGGAACACTTACTACTGAAATGACAGAAAAACTCATTTTATATGCACTTTCATTTGCCCTTTGTACGATAACTGTCGGGTTTCCTGCCAATTCCCTCATATTAAACTGTGTTTACTATCCCCTTTGCAATGGAAGTGATTTCATTATTGATAATAAAAAGGTACCCTTAGAGTACTGAAATCATAGAACGCTTAAGGTATTTTCTTTGTTACTCCTTAATGGTTAACCATATACTAAATGTTCTTGTTTTTAAGAATTTTTTTAGTATTAGGAAATAAAAAAAGATCCTAGAAATAGTCTAAGCAGTTGAAATATTCTCAAAAATCAGGTAAAAATTGGTGTTAAAACACTGCTTAGCACTCCAACGTCCAACATTATCTTTTTATTTTTCGATTGTCCAGCAATTATCTTTTCTTAATAAATTTATATTCTACTTTTGCTTTGCGGAAAAAGGTAGAATACATAGTTTATCAACAAATACAAGAAATGTATTGTATAAGTTATAAACTTTGTTCAAAATCTTCCAACGATTTTAAAATTTAAACCAATTTGTTAAATACAATTTTTAACACAAAGAAAAATAACCTTTAATTAAAATAAATAAACAAAACGAATAAGCGAAAATAAAAAACAAAAAACGCAAAAACAAAACAAGTAAATTAAAGCAGATGTTGGAAGTGAGCACCATTTGCACGAATACAAGCTTCTTCTCTCCTGAGTAATGAGTTACTGACTCTATTTAATTCTTCAGGATCGTTTCGAATCCGTTCTGCGGCCATCATAACTCTTGCTTCTAAATCTTCTAAATTATTAACTGGAGTTCGATAAACAATTGATTTCATATAACCCCATAAGTAGTAATCACAACTGTTAAGATCGGGAGAACGGGGTGGCCAAACGATGGGTCCACCTCTTCCAATCCATCTCTCACCATAAACATTCGTCAGGAATTGTCGCACTTGTAAACTAAAATGCGCAGGAGCACCATCGTGCATAAAGTACATCCTTCCTCGAATGTCTAAAGGTACATCTTCCAATAACAATGGCAAATGTGTTTCCAAAAAATGAAAGTAATTGTCTCCGTTCAGTCTTTCCGGTAGAACATATGGTCCTATCATTTGATTACCTATTATTCCGGCCCAAATGTTTAATGAAAAACGTTGTTGAAAGTGCGTCTCGTAAATCGCGTGAGGATTGGCATCTGCCCAGCGGTGAGTATTATGAAAATTAAGTATTCCATCCCTAGTAAAACAGCATTCATCTGTCATCAGTATGGAAGAAAGAAATCCGGGAGTTTCATTATTGCTGTTCACTATCCATCGGCAAAAGTTTTGTCTAGGAATGAAATCGTTCGGACTTAAATTCTGGACCCGCTGGAGGTGGTACGGGTACAAAAGAGATTCGCGTAGCGTTCTCCACACAGTCCAGTGACTAACACCTACTTCTCGAGCAATTTCACGCGTACTAGCTGACGGGTCTTCTTCAACACGATTGATAATGTGCTCTTCAATGTTGACCATATCTGGATCTCGACCTCGTCCAATCTCCTGATTTTTAGGTAAAACTGATCCTGTCTCCCGCAACCTTCTATCCACGGCTGAAAAGGTTTCGCGATACGGTTGTCGACGCCCAGGAAAACGTTCAGCATACCGTCTTGCTGCAGCTCTAGCATTGGCTCCACACTCCCCATAAACAAAATGCATGTCTACTACATATTCTTCTATGCTGTATTCTGGCATTTTTTCTCAATGAGTATTACTGACAATGACAGTTATAAATCTAACAATAATATTTGAAACAATTTGAACAATGTTAGTGTATCTCGGTAACTAAGCAACGATGCTTTTTTTTAACGATTCCCTTGATAGATAGAAAGCAAATTGCCATTCCTAATTCGTTGCTAAGTAACAATAGAAATTTTAATAATGGAACGTATTATTGAAAAATTGGCCTCCATGCAGTTCCAAAACGGTGTGATACTTATTTTTAAGGGGATTTAAAATAAAAACTATACATTTTTGAAAAAAGTTGTCCATAGATTTTAGATTCCTTTTTTTGTAATGCCTTTGCTCTGAAAGTTTGTTGCAAGCATTTCCTAACACCCTGTATAGTTGGATTCATGGATCTTTTTACACACGTGACCAAAAGCTAACGTCCGAACTAATAACTCTGACTTTGTAGTAATTAGTCAAAAAGATCACAATGTTCATAACGTCAACATGACACAAATGTATAGGCTCAGGCAGGTCTTTTGCTTCGGTGCTTTCCGATTGGGCCTTGATTTTGTTGGACTGGGAAGCACGCCGAGTCTGTTTTTTCGAGTTTTAATCTTCGAAACCGTTCGGCGAGTAACACCTAGAGCATATGCAACTCGCTAAAAATTTGAGTGAAATTATTAACCATGAACCTTCAAGTGATTTTTCCCTACTTGTTCTGTGGCATTTAATGAGATTAAAGGACCACCGTTTTCCTTCTCAATAGCAAAATACTTTATAACGTTAGACGCCATGTCCTGGGACGGGAACTCAAAGGTTTGCCCGGCATCTTGTAGACCAAACACGAACAAGAAATAAGATAACAAAACATAAAATAGGACAACGACACAAGAATACTAACAACCAACGAACTTTACGAAGAACTGAATAGAAAACTTGAATAGAACAACGAAAAGCTGCGATTTACCACTCTGAATAAAACCAAAAATGACAGTGACGTTTGATGAAAAATCGAATTATTAACAGTCACTAGATTGACTACATCAGTGCCTGTCGCACGATGTGGACGCATTTATTATGTATTTTATCTTTTTCTAATTCAAGAAACTTTGTGGAAGAAAGTTACTGACGTCGAGCGTAATTTGGACTCATTTCGGGAGACATACTATTTGTCTGGCTCTTTTTTTTGTAATCCTTAAAACAAAGATTCCTATGGTAGTTGCTGTCTGAACTTGTATGATACTTTGGTCACGTGTGTAAAAAGATACATGAATCCAACTATAATTGTATTTAATTCGTTTTTTATACATAATTGATTCAGTCCATCGTATTTTTTTACGTATTGCTAAAGGACCTTCATAAATATTGTTTAATCATTTTCATTTAAGTCTGATACCGCCGTTGTCGTGATGTTCGGGAGTTGATTGACTATTATTTCCTGATATACTTCCTTTCTATACGAAGTTAGAAAATTCCATCGGAATTTTTGACAAATTTTATTTTTTTTATTTCGCTCTATTTAACTTTCCTACCTTTCCTATTCAAAGAAAAATTGATTTCCATGTTTTCGGTCAATTCTTAACTATGTCAGAAGGCATTGTGCATTTGTTGTGTTCAGTTTGTACCTAAATTAGTAGGAGTATCAGATTATCAACATCGACTGAAATCTCATAGCTTCATAGCTTACGTGCATTTCACTTTAGTTTTGAGATACGGCAGTCTTGCATTAAGTGCACACGTAATGTTCGGAAATGCAATACTAACATTTTGATGAATTTGAGCATTACGCAACTATTAAAAACCGTTTATACTTACATATACTAAAACTACATTAACTTTTTTATGCATTAATGATAAATTTAAGAATTCGGCAAATTTTGACTTACGTGAGTATTGCTCTCACAGTGCGATATACAGATTATATCAAGGTTTTATTGTCGGGACAAAATTTGGTACCTAACTAAACATAGTAGCCGTTATATTTTTGTCAAATTTTATTACTTTTGTGCTTTTGATATACTTTCTTTAATAATAATTAGGCAAACTTTTTTTACGCATTTGTTAGACAATTTTTTCTATTTTCTATCAAAATTACATATGAAGTTGTCATTTTGGGATCAAGTCAAAATTTTTAAGTTTGTTTCTGATGCAGTGGTGAACAAATACGTGTCCATTGTTGTTGTCAATATCTTACCTTGTCAACAATACCTAGGCAAGGTAAAAAATGTAGATCGTATGTACACAGTAAAGATAGAGAATATAAAATTATGTGCAAATTGACGTAATGTAATGTAAAAAGTTTTAATTATATCAGCCTTATTCTTCTTTTGGTAACTAAAAACAGTTAGACAAGTATTATTTATAGAATAGTAAACATTTCACTCAGCACACAAATATTCCTTTTTTTTTATAAAATTTTTCTTTTTTTGGATTTTCTAAGCATGTTATTTTTGCAGAGTATGCTATGTAGCTGGTCAAGATGGCTTAATGATGAAAAGCTTGTCATTTGTGCACCATAAAAAACTGACACCATCTGTTGCCGTAGTTTTACAAGGAGCAATAACTCTGCTATGTATTATTGCTGGCGAAATAGTACAACTAATAGAATTTGTAAGTTTTCTGGTATGGTTGTTTTATGCTTTAGCAATGGTATCCTTGCTGGTTCTACGTAAAACCAAAAAAGATGTGCACAGACCCTATAAGGTAAATAAATATTTTTTAACTTTTTCGCTAAAAATAAGAGATCAGAATTGATAGTAGTAAATTTGACCAATTTGGTTCTCCAAAATTAATTAAGTTTGACGTCAAGCTCAAAAGAGAACGACTTCATTTTCGACATTTTTTTGTGTTTTTGTGTGATGCACAAAATTAAAATATGCATTCATATTGCTAAAAAAATATTTTTAAATATATGTTTCTTTCATTGTATACACCGATTCCCTGCTACTAGCTATTTAAATTGTACTTGTAAATTATGAATCTGCCTTGAGTTTTTATCTTAGATTAAATTTTCCAAAAAGAAAAACCAAATTATATAAAACTTTTTATAACAGTAAAAGAGCAACGCAGTAGTAATGGTTGAAAGGTTTACACCAGTAAACGTAAAGAATGTTCGACTAATCACGCGAAGAACGTGGAGGTAGTCGATTCGATGCCCTCATGAAACTTTTTTTTCTTACACTGTTACTGGTATTTTTAACTTATAGGGGTTATCATAAAATAACTTACATTCAAAATAAATTAAATTTTATGATTGTTTAAAGAAGCTGGATTTATTATTATACTTCCAGCGTTCTATTCTTTCCTATTCCGCTTTATTTATTATACTAGAACATTATTCGATTTTATATATTTTTACTTCCCGAACTTAAGCGAATGTGTTCTCGACCTTTCATGACCCTACCGTACGAAGAAATAGGTTTCCCGTTTTCGTCTCTCTGTCTGTCCGTCCGTCTATCCGTTAGTCTGTCTGTCCGTCTGTCTGCCGTCTGTCCGGATTTTTATTAGACAAATAATCTCCGAAAATACTGGGCCGATTGTTGTCAAATTTTATATGTGTCTTATGATGTCTTATGAATGTGATGAAGATAGTAAAGCGCTAACCAAACTTTGTCTGATCATACCCACCAATAATGTGATGACGTCTCTTCAAAATTGTACGCAGTAAATGGGTTTGAAATTGTATAAAATAACATAGTCCTCCACTTGTAGTTTGACTCCGTGTTGAGTCTTTACCCGAAACTTCTAGATTTTTGGAAAAAAAATTTTAATCTGAAAAACCTACCGAAAAAAGAATCTCAGGAGCCCCGTGTGTTGTTTTTGAAAAAGTTTAAAAGAATCTCCGGGCTCCCTTGTGTTGTTAAAAAAAGAATCTCAAGGACCCCTTGTGTTGTTTTTAAAAAAAGTTTCAAAGAATCTCCGGGCTCCCTTGTGTGTTGTTACTTCCCGAGTGTAAGCAAAGGAAGTATTGTAATGGAGTCCGTCGGCCGACTCTCTACTTTTGCATTTTCTCGGCCTATCATGACCCCTAGAGGACGAAGAAATAGGTCTCCCGTTTCCGTTTGTCTATCCGTCTGTCCGTCCGTCCGTCTGTCTGTCCATCTGTCTATCCGTCTGTCTGTCCGTCTGTCCGTCTGTCTGCCGTCCCGGATTTTTTTTAGACAAATAAGTACTAGGCCGATGGTTGTCAAATTTTATATTTATATTAGGAATATCATGTAGATGGTAAAACGCTAACCAAAATTTGTCTAATCATCCCCACCACTAACGTGATGATGTCACTTCAAAATTGTACATAGTAATTGGGTTCTAAATTGTATCAAATAACATAGTTTTACACTTTATGACTCCGAATTGAGAATTTACCCGAAACGTCCAGATTTTTGGAAAAAAAATCAAAATTAGGAAACAACATTTTGACATTTAATTTGGAATCTACAAAACCGAATGTTTTGAAATCTTGCAGATGTTTTAAGGTTATAAAGAGCATAATAAATTTTTAGTCAAAATATATCTGCTTATCCCCTCCAAAAAATCAATGACATCAGCTCAAAAGTTTGCCGAATAAGTCCTATCTAAAATGTACAAAATATGATGAGTCTGTACTTGTAATTTATCATTTCATTCATATTTTTTGGATCCGCATATACAGGGTGATTCAAAAAAATTAATGAATGCGTAAATTTATCTTATTGATTTAATCAGGAACTACAAAACCGAATGCTTTGAAATCTTGGAGATATTTTAAAGTTATCATAAGCAAAATGTATTTGCTCATCCCCCCTAAAAAATTGATGACATCACTCCAAAATTTTGCTGAATAGATCCTATCTAATATGTACAAAATATGATGAGTCTGTACTTATACTTTATCATTCCATTAATATTTTTTGGATTTGCATATACAGGGTGACTCAAAAAAAATTATCACTGTATTTCAGGAGCGAGGGAGGTTCTGTCGAAACAACTTTCGACCAATTTTTTTTTATAAAAGAATCTCAGGGGCCCTTGTATTATTTTTTTATTAAAAGAATCTTAGAGGCCTCTTGATGTTTTTTTTTTAATAAAAGAATCTCAGGGGTCCCTTGTATTGTTTAAAAAAATAAATAAATAAAAGAATCTCAGGGGCCTTTTATGTTGTTTTCGAAAAATTTTCAAATTATCTCCGGACTCCCTTGTGTTGTTAAAAAAAAAATAAAAGAATCTCAGGGACCCCGTGTTTTGTTTGTTGTTTTTTTTTTTAATAAAAGAATCTCAGGGGCCCCTTAAGTTGTTTCCGAAAAAGTTTCACAGCAGGCACGTAACCAAGGGGGGGGCTGGGGGGGGGGGGCACAGGCCACCCCAGCAAAACCCTGTGCCACCCCTGGTGCCCCCTTAAATTAATTTTAAATTTTAAAAGAAAGCAAATTCGAAATTTCAGATCAACAGTAAATTTTAGCTATGAGTAATCTTATGTTCCTATCTTGTAATATAACTCTCTGAGTAAAGCGATACTGCTGTGAACAGTTTTGTCGATAACTTTTTTAAGCAGTTAGCCGATACAATTGATATGCCTTTTACACACTATGCAGATTGGCACGCAGGGTTTAAATGAATTCTCATGGTGTTAGTCAATTTCAACTATTTGCACCCCATTAAGTTTATATATACTGGTTGTGATCCAAGTAAAATGTTGATTTATACTAATGGAGACTTTTTTAAAGGCCTCCTTATTTGAAATTAGTGCCCGGGCTGGGCCCCTCCAAAATAAAAGGCTGGTTACGTGCCTGTTTCAAAGAATCTCCGGGCTCCCTTGTGTTGTTTTTTTTTTTATTAAAAGATTCTCAGGGGCCCCTTGAGTTGTTTTTTAAAAAGTTTAAGTTGTTTTTTTTTAAGAATCTCAGGGGTCCCTTTTGTTGTTTTTGAAAAAATTTCAAATAATCTTTGGGCTCCCTTGTGTTATTTTTTTTTTTTAAATAAAAGAATGTTAGGGACCCCTTGTGCTGTTTTTGAAAAAGTTTCAAAGAATCTCCGGGCTCCTTTGTGTTGTTTTTTTTTAAGAATCTCAGCAGTTACTTGTGTTGTCTTTGAAAAAATTTCAAATAATCTCTGGACTCCCGTGTGTGTTTTTTTTAAATAAAAGAATCTTAGGGATGCCTTGTGTTGTTTTTAAAAAAGTTTCAAAGAATTTCCGGGCTCCCTTGTGTTGTTTTCTGTTTTTTTTTTTCATAAAAGAACCTCAGGGGCCCCTTGTGTTGTTTCTGAAAAAGTTTCAAAGAATCTCCGGGCTCCCTTGTGAAAAGATTCCGGGGGTTCCTTGTGTTGTTTTTGAAAAAGTTTAAAAGAATCTCAGGGGTCCTTGTGTTGTTTTTTTAAAGGTTTAACAGAATCTCGGAAGCCCCTTGTGTTGTTTTTGAAAAAATTTAAGAGAATCTCGGGGGCCCTTGTGTTTTTTTTTAACTTTAAAAGAATGTCGGGGGCCCCTTGTGTTAATTTTGAAAAAGTTTCAAGGAACCTCATTGTTTTTCTTTTGAAAATATTTAAAAGAAGATCTGGGGTCACTTGAGTTGTTTTTGAAGAAATTTAAAAGAATATGGGGGACCACTTGTGTGTTTTCTTTATAAAAGTTGTGTTTAGTTTTGTTTTTCAGAAAGTTTGAAGGAATATTAGCAGTGGCGGCTCGTCAGGGGAGGCAGGGGAGGCAGTGCCTCCCCTGGAAAAATTGACTATTAGTTTTTGTTTTAATATCTGTTAACTTCAAATATATTTTACAGATATAGCAAATAACTTTCATGGAACACTGTGATTTATTAAAACGCGTCTTGGTATAAAACATATTTTGAAGTACGCGCTTTCGACAGGAATAAGCGCTGATCACCGCCGTGTAGGCCAGCTTCAGACAGAGGCATGCCTCAGAAAGACGGATATCTTCAGTATGATTAGTCAGTGGCGCTAATATGTTTTTGAGTAAGACAATAGTCATCAGTGCTTTATCAAAGCGCCAGCGGAGGCACCAACGCCTACCGTCCTTAAGCCAATCAGATCGGATTTTTTAATCTCACGGTGAAACTGCACAATGCTGAACAGGGATGCTGAATGCATTTAGTGTGCATTTAGTTGTGCATTAATTAGACGCGAGGAAAGGTGTTCACTGCATGTGCATTGCCAAGGTTGTGTATTAAAACTTTTAAGTTAACTTGAACAGAGTAGGACAATGAAAATGTCAGTTTTGCAATTCTGATAGCAACATAAGAATCTATAATCTCCAGAATTTCTTATAAAGTTTAAATATTTAAGCACGGTTTTCTTACGACGAACAATTGTATGTCAAAGATTTAGAACCTCTCATCCAGATTTGAGGAGAACTTTATTAATTAATTGATTAATATATTTAAATTAGCCCTAGATCATATGAATTAATATTTAATGCTAAGAAAGCAAATTCTATAGTCTTTAAACCTTCTCGTTGGTTTGTGTGAAGCAATTAAATGTTTTTTATTCGAGAAGTGTACTCATATAGAATAGAGATGTGTTACTGACTCAAAGCTATTTGTATTGTTTTCATAAAAACGAATAAACAATCTGTCTTTTAACAAAAGTAATTGCCAACATGTTAATTAATACCTGCTGATTTTGAAACGAAATTGTTGCCTCACCTAACGAAAGGACCACGAGCCGCTACTGAATATTAGGGACTCTTAAAGTATTGTTTTCAGAAAAATTTAAAAGAATCTCAGGGGTCCCTTGTGTGTGTGTCTTTTTCCTTAAGAATGTGGAAGAATCGTCAGTGTTTCAACGTTACATTATGTCACCACCCTCGAACTATCGAAATAAATTGACGAATTTTATAAAAAATAAAAATGTAATAACATTTTCAATTTATTACGTTGGTAATGCGGAAATACTTCGAGAAGAATAGGTACATCAGTGAAACTTCACAGTAAACCTAAAATAAAAAAAAAATCAGATTTTAAAGACAACTGCAATTGCTTCTCCTTTAGCCTTAATGTTAATTAACAGACACACACAACCCTGTCGTGATCACACAATTGTGTAAAGAAAAAACTCAACGAAAATGCTGGATATATTTCATTGTACTTTAGGTGCGAGGGAAGTTCTATCGAAACAACTTTCGACCAATTTTTTAGACCTATTTAAAGAATATGACATGGTATAACGCTGCCCAAAATTTGTTTGTTCATCTCCACCAAAAATATGATGACGTCATTTTAAAAATTTACCAGAGTTAATGACGTCATCAGAAAATTTTATTAAGAAAAACTTCCCATTTTTTACAGAACAAAATTTCATTAACAAATTTATCTCAAGAACTAGACTTGTACTGTCTAGGAAAGGTCTGTCTAAATAATTTTAAATCATTTTCTTTAAATTTAATTAATTTCAGAACTGTTAACGAAAAGATAGTATGTAATACACTATAGTTTTAATTTTGTAATAATAAACTTGAATTTGCAAAAGGTACAGAAATTCCAGATTTAGATGAGTTCTTACACAGTTTACGGAGATGTATGTTTTTATAGTTATTTTTGACCTTAAATGTCGTTTAATCGTTGAAAATTTATATCCAAATTCTCAATTTCTACTAATAGTTTTTTTATTTTTGTTAACAGGTGCCTTCATGGATCGCCGTATTTTTCTTATTAGCAGTAAGTTGTCTGACCACGATTCCAATAATAATGGATTCTTCGCCTAAATACTTGTTTGGTTTGGGTTATGTACTAACAGGAGTATTCGTATATTATTGGTTTATTTACAAAAAGAATATTCCGAAGTCTATTATCAGTGAGTTGAACAAAATTAAATAAAACAATTATTTTTACATCACATTTATTTTTTAGGAAAAGCCACGCGTTTTGCACAAATATTGTTTGAGGTGGTACCCCCGGATTGCTTTAACCGAAAATTGTAACACTTCATAGAATGTCTTTTCGATTTATTGTACCTTGTATTTTCCACGATGGGCAAACATCATTATTTATTATGTAATTATTATTATTTCCATCTGGACACTGCGTGAAAAACCACGGATATATTGCAAATACGAGCTCAACATCAGTAAGATATATTGGCACAATAGTACTAATCGAGGGCAGTATTTTTAGTACTCTTGTTTAAATATGTCATTTTTATAAATAAAATGTTCTACAAATGCTCACCACTTATTTGTAGAACATAGATCCCTGTTTTGAGAATGGCTTTGTGTACACACTTACAAAAGCATCCTTGCAACGTATTCATAACTGCCCATTCACAATGGACATAAGACATAAGAACAAGCGCATAACATAATTTGGTCTGTGTCTGGCTTATGCTTATCTACGTTCACAGTGGACACAGTGAACTCTGTAAGAATTGTTAAACTGCGCAAACGCAGAACGGAATAACTCCCGGCCAAACATAGAAACGGCTAACCTCAAACTGAGTCAAAAAAAATATCTAACCTACAATTTCATACGATATTCGAACTTAACAACTCGCAGTACAGAACAGACTCGCAGTGTGAAGCTTTGATTATAATTTATATAATATAATCAAAGGTGTGAAGTGCCAAGTACCAACTGTCAAAGGGAATTCAATAGCAGCATTCAAAAGTCCCTAGATTTTAACATAATTTTGACATAATTCGTGCACAAAGTTGAACTTATTTCAACTTTGTGTACGCACACAAGGATTACATAAAACGTTCATAAGCATAAGAATTACGTTCGTCCACTGTGAACAGGGGTACACGTTTTCCATCGTTTCAACTTTACGTATTTATGTAAGCTTTATGTACTTGTTATGCCTTATGTCCATTGTGAATGGGCAGTAAAGTGAGTAGCAGCAAAAATTATTTTACTGCACATGCGCATAATAATTTGGCTCCCACAGAATACTATACTATATCCAGTAATTTGTATTTTACAATATAACTTAATATTACATAACTGACAACCTTTACAGGCTTTCAACCTGCCATACCTACATATATTACAACGATGTGAGAAAGTGACCGTTGTGTATATACCAAAACATTTTCTTTGTTCCTTTTCTTTACTAACATGTAATCACATTTGTGCTTATACAACATAATAAAAAATATGAACAAAATGGTCATAGTTTAAAATGTCATAGGTCATCTAAACGTTACTGCTCTCTACAAGAAGACTTCCGTATTTATGTCCAGATAAGATTTTATGACTTCCGTATTAATTTTTGATAATATCAATAATAATTTCCACTGTCCTTTTTTTGCCATTTTAATAAAAGTAAAAAAAGTAAATCCAGTTGTAAATTAAACTTAAATGACAATTATAAACACTGAATTTACAAAAATATTATAAAAATGCGATATAGTGTAATGCAGAAGACGCTAAATTACATCGCCATGCATTCTTTGTTGAATATAAAAATACCGTCATGTGAAGATATCCATCTTTAAACAAACAGTTCAAAGTAAGTATAAACAGCGTTTATTTACTTATTGATTTAATTTACATCAGTTCTGAGTATACTGTGACGAAAAATTGTTATCAATTGTTGTACATAATGCATCCAAAGCATTGGTGCAGACTGACCTTATTTTAACAGCGTCACAATAATTATTTAATTTATTAACAACGCAACACATCATCAGTAACATGGAAGTCAATGCAAAAGGAAGACTCAAATTTAACAGTCCTTTATGTAATAATTGCGGCAATTACTAAAAGAGCAAGTAATATCGGTGTGTTTTAATTCCATTAAAGCAAAGAGACCAATTTTGATGAACCTGATAATTTAACTCTACTTAAATAAAACATAAGTAAATTAATGTAATTGTGTAAGCTGTCAAAACAAGTAAATATCGGACTTAAAATGTAACTCATATTTATCATGTAAGTATTATGAAAGATATTATACTGTTTTATTGCATTTTAATAATATGACCCAAAGGGTCATCAAGATTTTTGCTTGTGTGGAAATTAACGTATCCGAGTTTGAAACTATACACTGAAACACTCCATGACAGGCAATGTGTTTATTATTATGTTACCAATATTATCAATAAATTACTGGACTTTTATTTAATAGGTATTTTTTTAAATAAAACATTCATATTGTCTGCAAGATTGTGTTTAACACTGAGCGCTCTATTTTCGTTTATAACTAGCCGCAATTTTGTATTAAACAATTTGTGTCGTGCTAGTTCAATTTTCGTTTCCTAAATGAGTGATACTACGGCTTGTCCAGATGGCCCAGACATAGAGAAGTACCTAGTGCGGTGAGATACAAGTTTTAATACTTGTTATCTATCATACTCTTGACAATTAAACAAGATATTACAGATACCACGTTGGTATTTAATTGAAAACTGATGTGCACTGTGCTCTTGTTAACATTTTATCACTCAGCGTAATATGCTTTTAGCTTATTAATTAATATATCTGGGTTTGTTTATACTTTAGTGAAAAAAACACAATGACCGGTAAGTTTTTACTTTTCTTTTAATCACTAGTAATTAAACGTATGTACGAGTATATTATTATTTAATTTAAATTATTTAAATAATTTGGGTAGATGCAAAGGACGTTTATAGTTTTATTATTTGTAAAGTTTGTAGTTTAGGCAATCACTTTTCTGTGCGAGAATATATTTTATAAATCTGTTACTTAGTAGCATTCGGATTTGTTTGTTTTAAAACTTTGATTGATCTACCCATAAGATAATAAACACTCTATCAGTCGTTGATTGATTATTTATCTCTATTGTGTAATCCGGAACTTTGCTTAACGAAAATGCCCTATATTAATAATTAGTAATTACTTCTAAGTCTAAAAATGTATGCAAAAATCGAAGAGATATAACTATTTGAGTTTCTTGCAAAATACTAATAATTGTCAGAACACTTTATTTGGCAATGAGAGATGCACTCGTGCAATCGTGTCAGATTGTTTTTTATAATAAAGATTAATATTATTTGAAAATTTGTTAAAGGTAAAATTACTTTTTCCAAGAAATATTTTTTGATATATTTTAAGTTAGTGTTTTTAAGAATTCTCAACGGTTTATCTTTGGACTTTTGGCGTTATCCAAATTTTGTTTATCTTGACGGATATATTATATTCATGTAGGTACAGGCTGTTTCATCTCAACTGAACGGTCAAAATTATTATTTTATGATATACATAGTTTAGGCTTTTTTTTTCAAATTGGGTTCACGTCTTTTTTTTAGTCTTTTTCAAAAAACCTATTAAAAGTATATAACATTTCATAATAAATGGCAGTTTATGGAATTTATACCAGATTTTTTGAACCTGCTGTTTTTATATCGCATGCGTAAGGTGTCACCATGGAAACTAAGGTGTGCATCTTTACCTACAACAAGCGCACGTAATGCGGATTCACACCTGTTCGGAATTTCATGACTCAAAGTTCATCTAGATTTTGAAAAGTTTGTAGTGTCGTTATCTACATCTCTTTTTAAAATTTCCCATCCTTCTTGGCCACATTTTCTCAAATGGAGCCTTTAAAAAGAAAACTGTATAAGCTATATGGTGAGAAACTAGGAATTAATTTAGCCACTTAATATTGATTGAACTGTTAGACGATGTACATATCAGTTTATTTTTAACCACCTAATAATTATAAGACGATGCTGTAAATAAGCCTAAAAATATTAGTTAGGTATTAGTTAAGTCGCCAGTAATATTATTTCTCCACTTCATTGTGTTTAAACTTTGTAGGTATGTATTTAGCGGAAAATGGTGTTAAATCTATATAATTTTAAACTTTAATGTTCAGTTATTTAAAATAGTAGAAACATTTCACATCAACTGGATTACATATCCATACAGCACATGTATTTACTATATGAGATAGTTATATCAATAAGGTCATTTCTTAGCATCTCACAGCATCCAAAATAAGAAAGTAGTATCTGTCGTCTATTGACGATTCTAAATAAATAAATTTCAAAATTACAAACAGATTTTTTGAAAATGTATGTGTACTCTAATGTCACGTAGATGGTGAAACGATAAGCAACATTACTGTTCTGACATAATTTAATCAGTTACTTCGGAAATGACGTTATTTTACAAGCAATGTTTCTAAAAAATGACTGTATAACTAAAAAAATTCGTAGGATTTCAAAAAAACGTATGACACGGATTTTCGTTTAATTTGAGTGCATGGACGTAAATTCTTTATATTTAGAACAGGGTGTGTGATTTCATAATGGTTAATCAATACGTACAATGGTAACACCTACAGTTACTGATCAAATTAAAGCCTTTCCCAATTTTATAAGAAAAATCGTTACTGAGCGTTCTGAGATCATCAAGGCGAAGGTTAAAAATTTCAAAAAGTAAAAATATTCGTCATATAATACTCTCAACATGTAATTTTATTACAATTGTTTTACTTATCAGATCACTTCCTCTGCTTATCACCAAATTGGCTATTGATATAAGTAATTAATCAAATGAAAACATCAGTGCACATTAATCAACTTGATTTCGACTAAATAAATTCTTGTAGATAAATTGTTTTAAACAGGGTAACTACTATACACGTGTAGAGAAGACTGTTCATTTAAAAACCACTTTACTACCTACTCACGAGGCCTTGACACGAAAGATCTACAAAATCTTCAATGACTTGATTTTACTTGATTGTAGTAAATTAATGTTTTAATCCAGATCCCGCCTCAAATGATTTTAAAACGATTTATTTTAGGACATATTTTAGCCAAAAGTTGCTTTTATTCTGTTCTTTGCTTAATAAATAGATAACTAGGTTCAGTAAATCAATATTTTTACTTCCCGAAGTAAGGAAGTATTGTAATAGGGTGCATCCGACGAGTGGCTATTTTCACTTTTTCTCGACGCTTTATTAAAAGGGTCCTAGAGTTCGAAAAAGTAACTCCCGTTTTCGTCTGTCTATCGTCTATCGTCGATCTGTCATCTGGCTGTGTCGATTTTTATAAGACAAACCATTTCCGAAACTACCGGACCGATTGTTGTAGAATTTTAGTGTTACGAAAATCGTATAGATGGTAAAACGATTACCAAAATTTGCCTAACTGAGAATTTAATGATGTCCCGTCATTATTTTGAATAGTTAAGGTTATTTAAATGAAGTGAAATAATATATTCCTTTATTCGTGGTTTACTTTACAAAAAATCTTATCCAGATTGATATCGTGTCCTTGCTAGAATGTGGATGAGGTCATATATCTTTACTTTAACTTATAGGTGTTACTATAAAAAAAAAATAAGTAAAATTCACAAAATCAAATTTTATACATTTTCGAAAAAATTGGTTATGTTGAGCTCTACTTTAGGGGGAGGGAAGTTCTGTCGAATAACCTTCGGCCAATTTTTACTTCTCGAGCGTAGACGACGGAAGTATCGTAGTTGTATATATTTAAATTACACAATAATATACTCGTACACTTGTGGTGTATGAATCCGCTTTCAGTTTTCCCTTAAGCACAAATTTTTGCAAAAAAATTCGCAAAATATAATAACCTCGCACGAGGACTGGCAATCAAGGAGCTCTGATTTCACGTCGGCACCCGGATTTATGGTCACGTGTTCGATACTGAACATAGCTCTTTCTTTTTTTTCTTTTTCTCTTACACTGTGACTAGTATTATCTATATGGTTTTTACTGTGTGGAGGTTATGACAAATTAATTTTTTTAGTCACCCTGTATAAGCAATTCTAAAAATTGTGAATGCATTGACAAACTACAAATATATAATTTATTCAGCAAAATTTTGAGATGACGTCATCAAGTTTTGAAGAGACTAAAAAAATGCATTATAACGATTTACCAGGCTTACGATAACCATAAAACTTTTACAAGATTTCAGAGTATTTGGTTTTACAATTTCAAAGTTAAAATGTAAAATGTTGTTGTACTACTTTGATTTTTTTGTCGAAATCTGAATGCCTACAGCAAAAAACCAAGGTGGATTCATAAACCACAAGTAGGAAAATATATTACCTATTTTATAAATTTAAATAGAGTTTACCGATTTCTGTCTATTAAATGCCTGTTTACATTTATAAAAGTTGGCTGATAGAAAAGCCATAACTGTATCCTGTATGTAAAATCCGTAGGGTAATATATTACCTTACGGAAATGTCAATTATCAACATTTGTCAAAGAATTGAAAAGCAATGAATGTGAAAAGCTGCATTTTTTATATTTTCGGGCAATACGTCGCCCAAATCTATCATTTTTCTAATTTAGTCTGTTCACAATTTTTTTTTTAATAAACATAAAATGTAACTATGACACCGAAATATGTCATACAAACGTGATCAACCAAATTTATTTATTTTTTAATTAATTTTTGAATTATTGGATTAAAATGGGCAAATAAAATTTTGAACACACCACGGATGTAAACGGCGCTATAACCGCCAAATCCTCGCTAACGCTCGAATTTCAAACGGACGGCTGGCAGCGGTTATGGCACTCTTTACATCCTAAGTATGTTAATAGCTATTACGATGCATTACCATGCAGTTTTGAGATGACGTCATCAAATTGTGGAGATGATTAGAGAAATTTTGGTCAGCGTCTTACCATACTTACCGGATATCAGTGGCGGCTCGTGATTCTAGAGGTTGGGGGGTCAAATAAGATTTAAAAAAGTTGATACTAAGTTACACTGCTTATAAAATGTTCCAACTACAGACTGCTACTGCAGCACAACAAAAGACAAAATCAATGCATGTGATAATTCCTGGAAATGCTGTTTTGCCAGTTCGTAATTATAACACAGTCGAACAATTTTAGAAAAATTTCTTGTTACAAGCATTCTGAAAATGTATTCTGAAAGGTTATTTTGTGCTGAATAACTATCTAATTAGACATTAAGCCTACGTCGTCAAAAAAATTTTTTTTTGGAGATTGTTCTTCATAAGTAGGTCCAGTTAAAGGTGTACTACTGCATAATGGGAATAAATATCTAGCACTGCCGATTGCATACTCCATACAAACTGCAGAATATGAGAATATTCAACACTTGTTAAACTGTATTAACGACAAAAAGTTTGAGTGCAATTTGATAGACGATTTAAAAATTGTAGCTTTAGTAACTGGATTCCAATCTGGATATACCAAGCATATGCGCTTCTTATGCAAGTGAAATACAAGAAAGAAAGCATTTCAACATCTGAAAACAATATTTCCTAAGCTTTCTGCTGCTAACATACACCAAGGTAAAAACTAAAATATTACAGTGAATTTCAGTTTTCATATTATATGTACGTTTTCTATATTTAGGAATTTTCATTGGACCTGAAATTCGAATGAAGGATCAAATGTTCTACGCCTATTTGTATGATACGGAAAAATTTACTTGGGAATCAATTAGCTTAGTGATCAGTGAATTTTTAGGAAACAAACGTTCCATAAATTATGTTTCATTTAAATTTTTTTTGCTGATAATCTTTTCATCGAGAAATCAAGAAATTCGAAGAAAGATTTAAGAGAAAGACCCAAGTATCCATTCTTTCCGCATACCTGAGGCTTTTATAAAGAGTTAGATCCTTCTACATATTCTAAGCAGGTTATCTAATCGTAGACGTAATTAAATATCTGTCGACAGAAATCTGTGGAACAATTTTTTAGTGCTTCTTGCGCGTTTTTATGTAAAATTAGAATTCACTTAATTTTTCTAATTGTTCACCGGACGACAATAAAAATTTGAATATTTTTTTTTCGACGACGTGGGTATATTATCTCTTTTGAGAGTTGTTCAGCACAAAATTACCTTTCCGACCATGTTTAGAAAATATATGTAACAAAAACACTATTCCACTGTGATAATTAATCGGTTAGTGGTGTTGGTACGAAATCGGAAGCGTGCGACAGTCTGGGCCGTCGACACCATTGTAGGTATGTCGAGGATATTCTGTACCTTGTCTGATATGTTGAATCGCGCTAAAGCCTATCTCTGTCTTGCGTAAATGCAGTTTCCACATATCCTATCAGCCTCCATAAGCGACTGTAGAGTCAAATCTGAAATCCGACTGCACGGAAACCTCGGTCTTTTTGCGGAGTTAACATATCGCGCTTGGACGTAAAAATCATCAAAAATAAATTATCAAATAATAAATGGAGTAATATGTAATAAAAAAATAATGTTTTTATTCGTAAAAATATTTGGGGGGGCATTGTCCCAACGACCTTATGGACAAGCCGCCACTGCCGGATATATCTAAACTAAGTAAGTAGTTACAAAATTCGGAGATTATCTGTCTAATAAAGAATCGACACAGGTGACAGACAGACGGAAAGGGGACCTCTATTTTTCATTCTCTAGGAATCATGAAACGTCGCGAAAACATGATAGTAGCCATTCGACGGACTCTAATAGCTTACGCTCGGGAAGTAAAAAATTGTGCTGTTAGAAAATTCTAAAAAGTAAAACACATTTCAATCATGAAAAACCGTGTAGTTAGTAAAATGCATAAAAATACAGAGAGATTGAAAAAGAAATTAGTCAAAGTTGGCCATGCACGAAAAGCCGTTTGTCTTAGTTTAAAATAATGTTTTATTAAACGTCACGTTGACAAAAGTCATTTGCAATGTTATCAAACGAAATTAAAGCTTTTCTGTTAGAATCTTACTTCAGAAATGAGACAAAATTGGAAAACGGTGAATGGCAATATTCGTATATGGCTTGTTTTCAAGAATTTGTGGAAAATTTTGTGTTTTAAAAGTAGCTGTCATAATTCTAATTTTAAACAGCCAATTTGACATTTAATAAAAAAAAATTAAATTACGACAAACGGCTTGTCGTGCATGGCCAACTTTGACTAATTTCTTTTTCGATCTCTCTGTATTACCTGTCATTTGAAAATTCAGAATTAGAAGTATATGAATTTAAAATTATTTTTAAACATAAGCTCATCAAAGTTACGATATAATTCAATCAACGGTTACGTAAGTCAAAACTATAATACATACTTATAATGAGACAACATTGCGCATGCAAAGTTTGGAGCTATGTACCTAATTGGTAACACACAGAGCTAGAGAATTAATTAAATAAAAGAAAATAATTAACATAGATTTTTTCCCGATTTTACAACATATTTTTTTTTCTCAGGAAAAAAATCATATATTTTTAGAAACATTTTAGTACTTTTCTCGTATTATTTTTTCAGGTGCAGTTTCTTCACCAGATGTTGCATCAAAAGATGGCGTCCAACTCAAACGAGAGTTGGGTTTATTTTCCGCCATAAATTTGATTCTAGCAGTAATGATAGGTTCTGGAATTTTTGTATCTCCGGCTTCCGCTCTAGAACATTCTGGTTCCGTTGGAATGTGCTTGGTTGTATGGACAGTATGTGGAATTATCTCACTTTTAGGTATTACATTGTTATATCCGAAAATATTTGAAGGGAATTTTTACAACTGTTTAATTAAAAAAAAAACCTATTTTTACAGTATGCAGAAAAACATACCTGAACTGACCTACCCATGTTCTACCATATTCAATCACCTCATTTTTTTAATAGCTTTACGTCCGTGTATCCGAAATTGGTCTTTATTTTTTCAAAAAAACTGAACCATTGCAGAAACAGTCCCATCAAAAGTTCTCGCTTTACCAATATACAGCACATTTCAGTATTTTTAAACCTTTGTTGCAGGAGCGTTAGCTTTCGCAGAACTGGGGACCGTGATTCCTCGATCAGGCGCTGAGTATGCTTATTACATGGATTCCTTCGGTCCACTACATAAATTTTGGGGCCAACTACCATCGTTCATTTATTCATTGGTCATGATTTTTATTATCAGACCCGCAGAAGTGGCTGTAATCATTTTAACTTTTTCTGAATATTTGTGTCAACCTATTTTAGATGTTTTGTGTGTACATAATCCCGAAGAAACTGAAAAAGTTATCAAAACCATAGCGTTAGCTGCTTTAGGTATGTAGACAATCAGAGTTCATTTTTTTGTTACTAACATTTAAACATTTAAAGGTACAATTACTTACATAAATATAACAAGCGTCAAGTTCTATGTTAAAGTACAAAATATTTTCGGAGCTTTCAAAGTTTTCGCTTGTCTTATAGTAATTTTTGGAGGAATATATGAAATAATGAAAGGTAATAAGATAAGTAACTGATTTCGTTAGAATATAGTAAAACAATATATTGAATTAGGTAACACAGATAATTTGAACAAGGGATTCGAGGGCACAAAATATTCTCCCAAAAATATAGCTTTAGCGTTCTATAGCGGATTATGGGCATATGACGGATGGTAATAAAAATGCAAATTGTATAAAATTATCATTTGGAAACCGCACAATCTCAGTGTTCTGTTACAGGTCGGCTGTTACTATTGTAACTGAAGAAATAAAGCGTCCAGAAGTGTAAGCCGAAGTATAAATCGAATCTGCGTTATAATTTGTCCATTCATATTTCAGAAACATTCCCAGGAGTATTATTATAAGTGTCCCAATAGTAACTGCTTTGTATGTTTTCATGAATATGGCATATATGACTGTACTCTCAATACCTGAGATGATGAATGCTAAAGCAGTTGCTGTTACATTTGGTGAAAGAGTTTTGGGACCGTTTTCGTTCCTAATACCCTTAGGTGTTGCTTTAGCCACGTTTGGGTGCGCATTAAGTATTCAGTTTGGTGTTACAAGGTATGTTTCCTAATCAAATAAATACCTTCTACACGTTTCTTTATAGAGTTTGTTACGTGGCTGCTCAAGATGGTTTAATGATAAAAAGTCTGTCATTCGTACACTATAAAAAATTAACTCCTTCACCAGCAGTAGTTTTGCAAGGAATAGTCACATTTGTGTTTATCGTAGCCGGGGATATTGTGCAGTTGATTGAATTCGTCAGTTTTCTTATATGGATATTTTATGGTTTGGCTTTCGTGTCTCTTTTAGTTTTACGGAAAACGATGAAAGATGTACACAGGCCATATAAGGTAATTAAGTCAAATACAAGGGTTTGGTTTTATTATAAAAACACCAATAACTGTCAGTGTCGAAGCTGTAATCAGAAAGTTTCTACTTGTGAAATCTAACTTATTATTTTGAACGTTGCTGAAAATAAACTTCAGATTTGGATTTGAATTGATACTTTATATTGAATTAGTTAAAGATTCACACTCGAAATTATTATATCTTCGAAAAAAAAAACCCGAATCCATATCTGAAGATGTGCCTGTGATCAAGATATTTTGTAAGTGAGTTACTTAGTTACTCACAGTTAATATTAACTGTACAGTTGATTGGATTAAAAATTATTTCGATATCGCTATAATGACAATGTATACATTTTTGGTATGGTTTATTTCAGGTGCCCACATGGATTGTGATATTTGCGTTATTAATAGCAATTTATCTAAGCGTAACTCCAATAGTGACAGATCCCTCTCCTAAATATTTGTCAGCACTGGCTTTTATTTTAGTGGGCGTTTTTATTTATTACTATTTTATCTACAAAAAGAATTTTCCAGATACAATTATGAGTAAGTATGGATGTTTTAAGAGCGAAGCAATACACTAAAAACATTTTTTTATAGAAAGATTTACACGCTTTATACAGATATTGTTTGAAGCAGTGCCTCCAGACAGTTCTCACGAATAAAAACATAGGACCCACAATTTTGTGCCTGAAAATAAACAATAGTTATTTATTAAAGAGTACTGAATACTTATTTTCATAAAATGTTTATTAAAAATTAATAAAACTGAAATAAAGGAGAGTGGTTTTATTTTATTTTGAGTTTAATATTAATCAGTACCCGAAGCTATTAATTTCGCATGAGAGAATTTGTATCTGTTTGTATTGTGATCTAATTAAATCGCGTATATTATATTTAGATTTCAACAACGCGTTTCAAACAACTGAAATTTACAGCCTGAAAAAAGATGTTTTTCGTTGAATTGGGAAAAAATTTCAAATCGTAAAGCAAAGCGTGTTGTTGTTAAATTAACCCCATTGCACCAGAAAGTTGTCCTTTCGTAACTTTGCTCTTCGCTCGAAACACAATTGCTTGCCAAATATGGGCAGAAATTACTGTCCACCAATCAAATCATTTCAACAGTCCAGGCGCGAGATATATTCTTCACCGAAATATGGACAGAAATTACTGTCCACCAATTATTACTTCCCGAGCGTAAGCAAAGGAAGTATTGTAATCGAGTCCGTCGGCCGACTCTCTACTTTTACGTTTTCTCGATCTTTCATGACCCCTAGAAGACGAAGAAATAGGTCTCCCATTTCCGTCTGTCTGTCCGTCTGTCCGTCTGTCCGTCTGTCCGTCTGTCCATCCGTCTGTCCGTCTGTCCGTCTGTCCGTCCGTCTGTCCGTCTGTCCGTCTGTTGTCCCGGATTTTTATTAGACAGATAATCTCCGAAAGTACTCGACCGATTGTTGTGAAATTTTGTACTTATATTAAGAATATCATGTAGATGGTAAAACGCTAACCAAAATTTGTCGAATCATCCCCACCACTAAAGCGATGACGTCACTTCAAAATTGTACATAGTAAATGGGTTTTCAATTGTATAAAATAACATAGTCCTACACATGTAGTTTACAACTCTGAATCGACTTTTCACCCGAAACGTCCAGATTTTTGGAAAAAAAATCAAAATTATAAAACAACATTTTGAAATTTAATTTTTAATCTGCTAACCAGAATGCTTTGAAATGTTGCAGATGTTTTAAGGCTATAAAGAGCATCATAAATCTTTAGTCAAAAAATATTTGCTTATCCCCTCCAAAAACTTGATGACGTCAGCTCAAAAGTTTGTGGAATAAATCATATCTAAAATGTACAAAATATGATGAGTCTGTACTTGTGATCTATCACTCCATTCATATTTTTTGGATTTGCATATACAGGGTGACTCAAAAAAATTAATGAATGCGTAAATATATTTTATTGATTTAATCAGGAACTACAAAACCGAATGCTCTGAAATCTTGCAGATGTTTTAAGGTCATAAAGAGCATAATAAATGTTTAGTCAAAATATATTTGCTTATCCCCTCCAAAAACTTGATGACGTCAGCTCGAAAGTTTGCCGAATAAATCATATCTAAAATGTACAAAATATGATGAGCCTGTACTTGTCATTTATCACTCCATTCATATTTTTTGGATTTGCATATACAGAGTGACTCAAAAAAAATAATGAATGCGCAAATATATTTTATTGATTTAATCAGGAACTACAAAACGGAATGCTCTGACATCTTGCAGATGTTTTAAGGCTATAAAGAGCATAATAAATGTTTAGTCAAAATATATTTGCTTATCCCCTCCAAAAACTTGATGACGTCAGCTCGAAAGTTTGCCGAATAAATCATATCTAAAATGTACAAAATATGATGAGCCTGTACTTGTCATTTATCACTCCATTCATATTTTTTGGATTTGCATATACAGAGTGACTCAAAAAAATTAATGAATGCGAAAATATATTTTATTGATTTAATCAGGAACTACAAAACGGAATGCTCTGACATCTTGCAGATGTTTTAAGGTTATAAAGAGCATAATAAATGTTTAGTCAAAATATATTTGCTTATCCCCTCCAAAAACTTGATGACGTCAGCTCGAAAATTTGCCGAATAAATCATATCTAAAATGCACAAAATATGATCAGTCTGTACTTGTGATCTATCACTCCATTCATATTTTTTGGATTTGCATATACAGGGTGATTCAAGAAAATAAATGAAAGCGTAAATTTATTTTACTGATTTACTCAGGAACTACAAAACCGAATGCTTCGAAATTTTGAAGATATTTTAAAATTATCATAAGCATGGTAAATGTTTGATCAAAACGTATTTGGTCGTCCCCCCTAAAAAATTTATGACGTCACCCCAAAATTTTGCTGAATAAATCCTATCTAAAATGTACAAAATATGGTGAGTCTCTTCTTGTAATTTGTCATTCCATTCAAATTTTTTCGATTTGCATATACAGGGTGACTCAAAAAAATTAATGAATGCGTAAATTTATTTTATTGATTTAATCAGGAACTACAAAACCGAATGCTTTGAAATCTTGCAGATGTTTTAAGGTTATAAAGAGCATAATAAATTTTTAGTCAAAATATATTTGGTTATCTTCTACAAAAAACTGATGACGTCAGCTCAAAAGTTTGCCGAATAAATCGTATCTAAAATGTACAAAATATGATGAGTCTGTACTTGTGATTTATCATTCCATTCATATTTTTGGATTTGCATATGCAGGGTGACTCAAAAAAATTAATGAAGGCGTGAATTTATTTTATCGATTTAATCAGGAATTACAAAACCGAATGCTTTGAAATCTTGGGAATATTCTAAAGTTATTATAAGCATGGTAAACTTTTGTTCAAAATGTATTTGTTCATCCCTCCTAAAAAAATTGATGACGTCACCCTTAAATTTTGCTGAATAAATCCTATCTAAAATGCAAAAAATATGATGAGTTTGTACTTGTGATTTATCATTCCATTCATATTTTTTAGATTTTCTTAAGAGGTGGTTCAAAAAAATTAATGAAGTCAATTTATTTTATTGATTAAATTAAAGGCAACACTTATTATTAGTATTACACCCCAACCAACCCAATTTGGTAGACAAAAAATTTGTTAAAGGAAAAACTCGGTTGAAACATAAGGATAGCATGCTTATTTACATCGACTTTAACATTACAGACCTGCATTTGTTTTATGCGTTCACTTGGTTCCGCGAATGTGAAATAGACATGTTTATAATCAACCAATTGTGAATTTCACCGTCAAGAATTAAAATAAAACCCAATGTTTTATATAATAAGCGGAAGTCGAAGCAATAAAACCGATGGTCGTTTTGTTTACAGTTTCTCTGTTTGACTCTCAAGTATGCTGTTACGCCTGTCATCTTAAATTAAGAATGTTTATACATACACGATTTTCAGCTGCTTGGGATACGTATACGTGAGTAAATTGTTTCGTTATTTTATTGATTATTACAAATCAATATTCAAAACGACCCAATTCATTTTCCTGAAAATTTGAGAATATAATAATTTTATTCTTAGTATTACACTACATCTATCCCAAACTGATATACGTGTCCTTGCAAAAATGTTGATGACGTCATCGCAATTTTTTTTTAAATTCCCACTACAAAAATGTAATGAGAAAAAACACAATAGGCATGCAGTCGTCAAGTTTCCGACAGCGAGGGAAGTACTGTCTAAACTCTTTAGACCAATTTTATTATTCCACAGTTCTTGCGCGATACACATATTTTACCCAGATAGAATGTACTGACCGCCAATTAGATCACTTCAATGACAATTAAAATCTAAGATGGCCCGGGTTCATAGGCGACATCAGCGTTCATGGATATCTAGTCCGACCATGCAAAGTAGCCCCAAGAACTTTAAGTCACGTAGTCGAAGAACTGGTCCATCGAGTTGTTCGCGCCTTTCCAGTCACCCATCCGATGGCTTTTATCGTGCAAGTTGCCGTTGGTCTAATTATTATGCGTGTGCACAATATTTTGCCCTCGTATTGTCGCACCATCGACCAATCATATGTACCAAATAGGTCAATATGGAGCTACTACGAGAGATCAACAAATCACAAAGTCGGATTTCTCGGTTGTATTTAGGTCCTATGTGTCGTACTGGGAGAGTCTGCCTTGTAGAGTATTGCCCAAAACTGCTAAAGATTTTTTTTCGATAATATTATTACGAAAGAAACCCATACGCCGCCCCGGTACGACGCCTATGGGTCTTCTAGTATATGTGTGTTTATTCTGGTATACGCGGAGATGACTCATCAGCGGTCGGCGGAGCGCTAAAGAGAAAGGCCTGGAAACGGAAGTCGCTAATGTGTTTTCTGGAGAAGTCTAGAAACGATTACGTAGACGTTTCGATAAGGACCGCGTGCTGTTTAAATAGAGCAGATTTTTCAACATCCGCGGATGCGGATGCGGATTTTTGGGGTCTCACATCCGCGGATGCGGATGCGGATCTAAAATTTTTTTTTAAGAAACTTAGTATGTGTACAGAAACCAGTTAAAAAAATGGGGGTTTTTAATATTTTTATTTAATAAACAAATTTTTAGTACGAAAATTTAAAAATTGTTGAATTATATTTAATAAAAAGTAATATTGCGGCCTTTTCAGGTTCGAGTCTATTTCTCAGAGGTTCATAAATTAATCCTGCACTACTAAATAACTGTTCACTGGGAACACTAGCTGGTGGAGGCGATAAAAATCTGCGTGCTATTCCAGATAAAATTTTTAATTCGGTACGATTAACGCTCCACCATTTAAGTGGATTTTCATTTATATTCAGCCTTGCTTTATTTCGATACGAAAGCAATTCCTTCTTGAGGACAGCATCAGGGGAACCATTTTCTGATATTTCTTGACTCTCATCTTCACTTGACGAATCTAGCATCATGGCAAGATCGCTTTTCAAGCATGGCTTTCTGGCTGTTCCAGGTTGTTCCGTATCTTTCACGAAGGAATCTCCCATTTTCATTTTTTTCGCTGCTTTGAAATTTGGAGATATTTGAGAGTTTGAGACGTCATTCTCTATGTTTGTCCTAATCTTCAAAATATCGTCCTTAATATTTTTCTCGGTCACTGGTGTAAAAAACTTGTGCTTATAGCGCGGGTCTAAGTACGTGGCTATGACATATAAATTGTTCTCTTCCAACAAAGAAAATTTTGCTGAAACTTCAGTTTTCAGAGTCGT